GGCCTCTTCCTCCTCCCCTGCCGCCACCTCTTCCTCTGCCGCAGCCTCTTCCGCCTCTACCACCTCTTCCCCCTCTACTCCATCTCCCCCACCTCCCCCATCTACCTCTCCTCCCTGTCCCTCTGCCCTGCCAATTCCGTTTCCCACCGGTGATTTTTCTTTTGATTTTTCTTTTGGGTTTTTTGGATTGCACAACTTTGCTGTAGTCATGGTCTCCATCAATGTAATCCTGATCTGTTCTAGATGTCGATTCAGAGTCTGAATCAGAGCCACTTCTGCTTTCAGAACTTGAACTGGATCCCGATTCCCCACTTTCTGATGAAGATAAACCGGATTTTTCTTTTAATTCTCTCTTCTTCTTTTCCTCTTCCTCCGCCTCCTCCAGATGCTCATCTTCTTCTGATGCACTTAACAACTTCCTCTTGACTCCTGAACGAGGTTCTCTGCCATCACCATTTGTAAGTGGTCCATCAGGAGAGTGATCTAAGCAAACACAAAACAACCCTATCAGTTATCATCATCACGCCTGAGCCAAATAGGATACAAAAAGTGGGATTCGCCTCATCTGCCTCTGAGGTGTGCTCTGGGGATGATCCGGCTCTGGGCTGCTCACCACAGATGACCTTTATATGCTGTGGAGACAAACAGGTGCTCTAAGGGGAATATTTATCAGACAAAGTAAACACAGTTCATCTTATCTGGAAGCAAGGACTGCAAGCTCTCTTGACTAAGAGTTCAGTGAAGATCCAGTCAATAAAAGGAGCCTAGAGTGCCTAGGTTAGACACAAACGTCTAACATTTAGTCAGATGAATCCTACCTAGGGTGCCAAGGCAGAAAAAACTCTAAAATCCATTTCAAACCTATATACATTAAAATAACATTCTGCAAGCAGCATTTATTCCCCATCAGATGTGTATTCTCAAATGGCTTAGTCCAGGGAACACTTGCAGCAAGCACAATTTCAAGACAGTAAACAACCCAAGAAAGCTCACTAGGATTGCTGAACACCTTAACTTAAAAATATATAAAGCATCTCGCTGGTTTGGGACCCAAAACACTACAGGTTTTCAGAGTTACAAATCTGACAATGAAGATTAAATATCTTCTTTAACACGGGATACAAAAAGCTCACCTGCGACATACAACACTGCTGCAGCACAGCAGTATGGACTTGACAAAGGCTTCAGGGTTTCAGCCAATGCTCGTTCAGTGCCTACCTCAGTGGAAAGTCTGATTAACACGTCCCGGAAACAAAATGCCACAGTTTTCAAACAGTGTTTCCCTTCTAATCACAACCACCTAGTCTTGACTAGGATAAAAATGTTTACATTTTTTTAAACTTTTTTCATCTTTGGTTTCAACTTGACGAATAAAAGGAGAAGGTTTTGGGATGGGGATTCTTTTGGTTTGGTTTGCCTTTTTTGTAACTCCTGAAGGAACTGTAATCCTCAAGAAATTTAAGAGCAATCAAGCTTTTCCATCTGGAAAAATTTTAAAGGACTCCGCTGAAGTGCATGTGGCATCATGTGCCTGCCCACTTCAGACGAGACCACAGAACTGTGAGAAGTGAGGTAAATTCAATTCTTTAGTATGGTTTGGGGATATAGTATAATGCTAGACTCAGGCAAGAATATCATAAGCATCAGACAGAAGCAACATCTTTCATTTCTAGTGAGACCAGTCATTCAAAGAACAGAATACTTATTTCTCACCTTGTTTCACTGGTGTAGATTTACTCCTGATTGGTCTGCTTTTCCCTGGATCAATGGTATTTCCACTGCGGTTCTGTGCATTTGAGCCTGAGGAAGATGGCTGGCCTTCCATCTCTTCACCTGTGGCCGAACCCAGAGGTTCTTCTGCTGTATCTGAAACTTTAGACAGGACACGACTAACGTGACAGAGTAACTTTTATCCTCTATTTATAGGGTTGTAATGCAAGGCATTTTGGGGAAGTTTTGTATCACCTGAGTTAACAGCCCAAGTCAGGAGGTTAATCTCGCCAAGCTGCCTCTGCACTCATGAAGAGACAGATTCCTCTGGGGTGTAATCCAAAGTAAGCTTAATGTATTTGTAATCGCTGTATGAGAAAAGCCCGTACACAGGAAGTCCAAGCTCTTGCCACTAGATTAATTCTTACCAAGGTCAGACCCAGGTTCCCTATTCTCTGACCCTTACCAATAACTTACTAACAGCTGGAGGGCCAAGGTCAGCTAGCACAATCTACAGACAGTATATTTACATGACCTTGCTCCTTGCTTTTTCAACAGGTGGGTTTTTTGCATGTGTCTCATGAATGTCAGATTTAAACTGAACATTAAATATCCTTCAGCTTTTTCATCATTCTGCACATACAAGTTGCTGCAAGAGAAACGATGCATTTTAGAAAATTTCTCCTCACCATGAGATGAAACCGAAGAACTAGTCCTAGTCAAAGGCAGTGAGGTATTCTGGTTGGGTTTAGGTTGAATCTTCATTTGCTTCTGTTTCCCTTTTGGGCTGAAGACACAAAATATCCCAAAGAGATAAAACTGTTAGTACCAAAAGACTCAAACACAAAACCGATTTCCCCTGCAAAGTGTCTTGGGTTTTTGCAGCAAATGCCTAACACAAATGATCTCTTCCCAGTGCTTGCACGGGTGTAGTAATACTAAAAATATTGACAACACCATTCTGTCTGATAAAGGCATATGAGTTTGCAAGAACAAGATTTTATCTCACCTTTTAAAACAAATACTCAGTTTACTTATGAGTATGTATCATACAGATAGTCAGAAAAGTATTATACAACACTTTTTTCAACAGTTACTAAACAAAGGCAAAAAGAAACTTGCTCTTCCATTTTCTCCAGAGGGAATACTTCTAGTTATATAGTCTTTCACTTACCAGAATTATGCACAAACTACAAATGGAGCTTGGAATTTGAGCTCATGATTTTACCACCCAAAAGAGCAACTGCATCAGGAAACGAGCAATACTGACTGCTTATTCACAAAGGCATGTCCACCACTGTCATCTCGAATGACAGTGACAGCAGGTCTCACTATCATTACATTACCTGGATGCTCTGCTAGTTGACGGTGAACTGCTACTGCTTCTTAGCCGTTTTCGGTACCGTGGCCTTTTCCTCTTCTGACATTGCATTGCTGACTTGTACTCAGAGATGATATTTTTCATATGATTTTCAAATAAGGCAGATAGTCGAAGTGTCATGCTGTAAATCTGGAGTGAGAAAGCATGGTCATACTTATCAGAAGTTGAACAACTAGAAGATCAGAAAAAAAAACCCCAAAAACCATGAAGATGCACAGACTTTGTAGCATAAAAGAAAAATTCATGGTGACATTCAACTATGAGGTTCTTTGCAGATAATTTCCCTCCACGGTACATACATGTCCTTGCAACAGAAAGCTTTTTCATAAAAGGATATAATTACTTACAGTACAAAATGTTTACAGAGTTAAAGGAAGATGGATATCTGGATTACTGAAATATAGTCTCCTTTTTTCATCTCCATAAAGCATGGAAGCACGCCATAAGATAACTTGAAGTACCAAGGGAAAAACAACTGAACTTCGCTGCCCCCTCACCTTTGTTTTTTGCTTTAATTCCCTAGTGACGAGTCTTTACACCTCCCCTAAAGAGCTGCACGCAGAAGCCAACTAAAACGTCCTCATTCCTAATTTCTGTAAGCCAGATGTCAAAATCCTTAAAAGAGGACATTTTCCTGTCCTCTTTCTAGGCCTTGCCTCTGTGGATGTTCTCATGGCTATTTCTCTGTATTTCAGACTGTATTTACTTCTGTTCCCGATTTTACCGTGGATGTGTTTGAGTTACAACAAACTAGTAGTTCAAAACTCAGCACAAATAAAACAAAGTTCTCGATTCCTTCCTCATACCCATTCCCTTCTGCTGCATCCAGTCTTCTGACAATTGTGTAAACGCCGTCAAGAAGATGTTATCATCATCTTATACCCAGACCTCTTCCCATTTCTTGCAGTCTGTCTGAATATAAAATCTCTTTGATACAGAGTTTTCTTTTCATTCATATAACTTAATTTTTGCCCAGACCCTTATATTTTAGCAATGTCGCTTTCTTTAGCTCTGGTATGCAGTACCCTGCCCTTCTTGCCTCCACTCAGGTTTCTGCTGCAAAGATGGTAAAATGGGCTAGAAAACCTCAGGATGTTGGCACGCATTTGGCAGCAGACAAACCTGCAGCAGCAGAAGACCCAGCTGAGTGCCCCAGCCCTCCAGCAAGGATCATCTCACTGAGGCCCTTCACAGTATTTAAGCAAATGGATATTGATGGGCCACTCTATTAAAGTAATTTGGGAGTTGACTCACAAGCTGTTCAGTTATTAATACACAGGGAAGTTCCCAGGGACTGTGCAGCAGTAAATAACTCGCCATGTTTACTCTGATATCAAGCACGCATAAAACGCCCTCAAATCACCTGTCTTCTTGCAATCCTCTACAGACTTCCTTTCTAATAAAGTGAGCAAAAGTTACTGATCTTTATCTTCAGAGCTTACGCGCAGCCCACCTTTCAGCCCTCATTCAACACCAAGAGTTCAATCTACCTTCAGTGATGGCAACTTCGTGCTTTCTCTCATGCTCACTAACACTCGGCTGGAGTTCCCCTCTCCCACAGCATCACCCTACTTCAAGCTTACTCTCACCGTCCTGAGTGAGAGCTACTGTGCACTACAAAGCACAGTAGTTGTTATTCCACTGATGAGCTATGATTATTACTCCTCAAGTGATGAGTAAGGTCGCACAACCTCCTGCTTCCTCCCCTCCAGCACCGTTTAGACGTGCACTGAAAGCTCTTTGCAGCACACTCTGCTCCTTCTCCTGCTTGACAGCGCCTAGCGCAATGAAATCTTGTGTCACACCATGTTAGGTGCCACATGAAAATGTCACAGTAATGTTAAATTCTATGTATTATTGTGCTTTAAGTAGTAGTATCTCAGTCTAGTCCCAAATGGCATGCACTTCTTAAGTTTATAAGTACTCCTGTTTCTACACAAGAAATATTAGGCAACTTCGTGACCAGCACTCTTACCTAAGCTGAATGACATGTTTCAGAGATGTGATTCTGTCACAACTTAAGCATCTTATTGAATATGCAGCTTTCCCTTATAATAATAATGTCATTACAATTTAATGTCTGGAAACACAGTCAAAATTCTGTCTACTTTTATATTATGAAGACATCAACCACTCAGATTCTGTTTTGCACCAACAGTGGTAAAAACTGCATCTGTGTCCTCAAGCCAACTTGTGATTTTTTGAGCATAATATATCATTAAAACATTCGAAAATTTTAGAATCGTTTGATCATTTAGCAGCTTAGGAAAAGCTGACAGGCAACGTACTGCACAGGAACGCATATCAAACATAGCCATGTTTATGTGATCAGTCATACACTTAGTAGTCATTTCACCTAGCTCATATAAAAATATTTACATTCTAACATTTTGATCTCCCCTTCCCCTCTTGCCATATCCTGTTTAAAGCTCCAATCCAATAAATTTTTTCTGCCTAAGGAGATTCCTGTTGCTGCACGCAGAAAAAAGCAAGATTAGCACCTAAGAAACACAGGCAACGCTGTGCGAAAGTCTTGCCAAGTATACTAAGTAAACTAGAAAAAAATTCTCATAATGCTCTCAGTAGAAATATGGCATAATACTTGTATTAACAGTAGATTAAAAAAAGATCCTACTCTCTATATATGCAGTTATCAAGCTGATAGCCTTGTTTCCAGCAATAAATTATTGAAAAAATAAAAGCAACTGGTGATCAGTTTTCTGCTACAGATATTCAAAGAAATAGTTGCAACAGTAACCATACAATTTCGCAGAAGCTTTCAGTTCAGAAAGTTCAGATGAAAATGAAATTCAGAAGTGATCTGCGTGAGCAGAACAAAGCAAATTTATAACCATAGGTCCCAGAATTGACAGACACTACTTATTTTTATTTCACAATGCAGTGCTTTGCTCTCTAGATACGGACGTTATTTCATGCACTGTATTCACCATGTAGGGCCGGGGTCTTTGTAAAGGAGGGATTAAAATTTATTACTTACTCGAGACTTTTTATTAGGAGTGTAAGCTTTAGAATTGCAGAATATTAAACGAATATCTTTGTAGAATTCCAAGGGACTAGTATAGTTTCCTGCTTCCAAGGTTTCTTTCACAGTGCTGAAGTCCATAGGAGTGTCTACAATATCCCGATAATCCTGTAAGAATAGACAAGAAAATAATAAAGGCTGACAAATCCTACAGCAATAAACACACCTAAGTGTTCATCTGCAACAGTGGCTCTCAGGTAATTATTTCTACTTGAGAGTTACTGCAGGTAATTCTCTGAAAACCTCAGTGCACAGAACATGGTGCGTTCCAGCTCAGAAAGGCAGAGGTTAGAAACATGCCCAGCATGGATGTTTTGCCAAAGGATGAACAACAGGCTTTTTAAATTTTGAATATGGAAGTTATACTTACAGGATAGGAGAAGAGATCAACTGGCTGTCTAAAAGGCTCCGAGTCCTCTCTTTCATAAATCAGGTTTAACAACTGCTTGCATTGCTCTTTCCAAGCATCAGGACTCGCTTTCATGGGCTGTCTTTTTATTCGTCGTCTTACCTGCAGGGAAACAGATGTATTTCATCATTTTTCAGAATATTCAGATTTTTCACTTTAAATTCCTATTAATTTACTAGTGTTATGGTTCAAAGCAGATTTCCACAGTTAAAAACAGAATTGCAGTAAGATTAAAGCATAGCTGATGGCACAACAATATGCAGTATGCAAATTCCAGAAATATGCTTTTTTTCTGGTAATATATAAACACTGAAACCCATGAGAGGTATGCGATATTTCAGATCCATGTTTGCTGGTTTTGTCAGCTTTCATCCAATTTTGATTGAAAACTGAGTCTTTCAAATCAAATTTAAAAAAGATTCTTCAGCATTTAAGGACATTTTCCCGCACAATAACTTCCTTAGTCTGCCAACACTCACATACACATGCAACTGAATTCACACTGTCCTACAGACTATAGGTTATGACAAATTTAAGCAATTCCAGACCTAAACGAGTGTTTCAGTACCTGGTCTATCTCCCTTCACAAGCTAGACCAAGCAGAAATGTTTACTCACTCGTCTTTTTCCAGAGGAAGTTCCCGGAGCGTCTGAATCTACATCTACTTCTGCCACCTAAAGGCAAAGGCAATGATTACACACAGGCGTGCTTGTATGCACCCTCAGCCATGGAAACAGGGTTTAAAGCCAAACAGCCAGCAAACACAATTTTAAACTACTCAAATGCAATGAATGGCTCAAGCAAAACAGAAACTAGCTTCAAACTAGAACTTACGTAACTTAAAAAAAAATTGAACTTACATAACTTAAAAAAAGGACTTCTTTTCAGTCCTTAAGACTCAGTAAAGTCCTAGTCCTGCAGAGCTGTATTGCCCTGCCTAAACGTTCATGCCCTGAGCACCTGTCCTGAGTTTATTCAGGTTTCAGGTAGTGCCTTACTTACACCAAGTGTATGTAATATTCTCTTCAGAATCTGGATTTAGAAATTACAACAAAAACTCCTTTGCACGTAGCTTTCTACCAGTAATTAAAAATAAGTAATTTTGAGAGGACAGGAAACTTCCTACAAAGAATCTGAAAGTAATTTCTTTCTTATTTTAAAACTTATCATAAACCAAGACATATTATAAACCAGCTCTTTGAAAGGCTGGAGAGAAAGGAATGCAATACAGTAGTGATTTTGGACACTTTTGATCACTGCTTGACACGGAACAGATGAGATTCACAACTGGCACAGGAAGGAGGGTCTGCTATTTAAGTCATGGAAAACCCTAATTTTCTTCAAAATACTCTTTTAATAGTCTGAAAATAGATGCCGTTATTATATCTTCAGTTTTATAAAAGTAATTAAATTATTACATTGTAGTATCGGCTTCAAGTTTCAATACAAATCCAAGACAAAAGCACCAGCCATAAGCACATAGGTGTTCAAGCAGCATCAGGTTTAACTTAAATATTTCAAAACTGCAACAACGGAGTATGTCTTGGGGAAGGGAGGAGGGAAGAAACCTCCTAACTAAATCTTATACTAGCTCATGTATTGGAAAGCAACACTGAAAAAGTAAAACAAAACCAAGTGACTTAGGTTATGACAGGTCACTTCTTTGCAACAGGAACTACAGCACATTTCAAAATGTCTACAAACTGCATTTAAGGGAAGAAGGTGTAAGGAGAGAGAAAAAGTTAAAGGAAGTGATATCTAACCTGGTTTCTACCTGTCATTTCACTCCACAGTACAACTGATGGGAAATGACACGGAATTACGTAAGAAAACCAGCTCTGCTGCCTCGCTGACATGAGGAGAGCTGTTGTCTTTCTGGTTCGGCAGACCGAATAATAGCTCCAGTTCATATTCCCCTTACTTACTAATACTTCCTCACACAACAAAACGTCGTGTCCTGAGCGAAGATTAAAGATAGGCAGTTCCAAGAATCATTTTACTTACTTAAGGGAGCTTATTGCCCCAGGTGAGCAACACAAATGGCCGAAACAGGCTCACCTCAAAAACTCAGTGCAACTACCCATAAAATAAAAACTCAACAAAAATCTTTACTCAAACTTCTTCCAGGTGCTGAATTTAAAAAAGGCAAGAAGTTCTGATGATCAGACTTAACGGTCTTACCTCCTCTTCTTCATCAGTACTGCTCAGGTCTTCTGCTTTCACCTTGTTATATATTTCTAATATATCAGTACAGCTCTGATCCCTGCAGGACAATAACAAAAGCCAAAAATACAGAATTAAATACCTCAGAAACTCAAGATGTCAGGTCTATCAAGTAAAAAACATGCCTACCCAATGAAGCGAAGTAAGACATCTGTTACAATTTTGGCTGCTTTGACTATAGGACTGTCTGGCTCGTTGAAAGTCCTGGCATTATGTTCAATGTATCGTACCTCCCACATCAGTGCAGAGATTCTCCTAAAAAAAAAAAACCAAAGGAAAGGGATGGAGAAGAAGGTGTACATTATTTTCCTTCTGAGTTCAGTAGGATTCCTCAGTTAAAAAAGGAATCGGGTAACCCAGGGCCAGGGGAAACAGGTTGCCAGAGACCAAGGTAAGTGGTTTCTGTTCACATACTGCTGACTGCCCCAACGTGCCAGGCTGTGACAGCTTTGTGGGGAAAAAAAGTCCCTCTTCAAATCAGCAGTGAATGGAATGACAAGAGGAAACAAACCTACTGAAGGAGACTGCTGACTGCTCCCACTTAGAGAAAACCTTAGAGATAAAGTGGTCCTCAGAGGGAAAAAAAAGAGCAGGACATTATTTATCCCCAAGTTAACTGGAAAAACTGAGATTTCTAGTTTACAGCACTATTTAGCCCACTTCTGGCAACTGCAATACAAGCAAAGCATCTGGTTCAAAGGCAGCAGAGATACAGATGAGGCAAATATGCTCTGCCTGCAACGCATCCAGAGAGTAAGGCTCAGTATGTTAAACACAAACCAGACGCTCCAGATCCAGATATACCAGCTTTTGCCTTAACAACGTGGCCAAACGAAATTATTATTCGGCAAGGCTCACTTTGCCCAAGCCAAATAGAATCGGATCGTATGCTGTTGGCTCACAGAAGAAATATATTGCTGAAGTGGCATTACACAGTATTCAGCTAAACATTATTGTCCTTGGTGGGGCTATAGTAAATGTAGATTACAAACAAATAAAAATTCAACTGACCTATAAAACCTGTTTTCAAGTCTCCTCCTGATCGTGGTGAGGTCAGTTGGATAAGCAACAACAGTGCAATACATGGGATAGGCACTAAGGTCCACCGGAACAGCAAAGGGATTAGAAATGTCTGAAAGACAAAAGATCAAAATAATTTAGATGCCTCAGAAGATACCAGAAGGGACATTATAAGATAACTAGATTCCTTATAACGGTTTCTGGGTTTTCTTTCTAAGAATTCAGCAAAAGCAATATGGATCTACAGCTGGATATGTCATTACCCAAAGGGTAGGATTCTTCCTCTTGTACCATGTTAACTACTCTTGAAAAAGCATTTTTTGTTTAAGTATCGCATCTGAGATTTGCATGTCAGCAGCCAACCGTATTGCTAAAAAGCAACATGGCAAATGCACTTACAACAGGAATACTGCAACAAGCAACATAAACTAAGAACAGAGACCTGTCCTGTGTACAAATATAGGACAGAATTTAAATCATAGCGTGCTATTAAAGTGCTACAAACTAGTTACAAGGTATTTGTTGGTGAGGATGTTTGGTGAGGACTTGTTGGTTGTTTTTTGAGGGGTTTAATTCAACGTTTTGCTCGTTCATATTTAGATATGACACACTGAGAACCCCCACTAAGTTGAAAGGAAGCAGGTCAAGCCACAGAAATAAGGGAGTATAACTGAAAAGGACACCATATGAAATTTAAAAGGCTCTTTTTAATGATTTAGTTGAGCACATTTCAAATACTCCACACCAACTCCCAACACTCCATCCTATCTACTCTTCAGTCACGTGCCGCCATGTGATATTCTTAATCCTTCCACCTTTTCCCTCCAAACATACCAAGGGAAAGAAGTTGCTCAATCCCCCGGATTACTCGTTCACATTCTTCATCTCTGGAATGGGCCCCCCATTCTCCTTCCTGGGGTTTGTAGAGAAGAGCTGTCAGCTCATCTGGAGTCACAGGAACTCCAGCACCAACCTCCTCCGGATAAGCAGCTAAATATGAAGAATTCAACAACAGTAAGTACGAGCAGTGGCAAAAAACTATTCACTTTGCATATGGACATGAATTCAACACACACTTACTTCCTTCTGGAATTGGTTCCATGTCCCACGGACTCATCCTCTCTCTTTCATTATTGTCCCAGCTATTAAAAGAAATACATTCAAATGCATAAGTTAAAGCTGAATATAACAATACACCTTTTCTCTAACAGACTTAAAACAAAAAGGTCATGCCTATTAGAAACAAGACACGTCACTAGCTACAAACTCCTCATTTTTCTCTCATATCCCCTATATATTCACTGCACTGCTGTTTACACTACAAGTGTTATTTTAGGAGTAAGTCAATAATTAAATAAATAAAAACAAAGTGGCTTATTATGTATTTAAATGGGAAAAAGGGTCCTAGTTCTTGAGGTACACATTTAAGTTGCATCTAAAGGTCTAGGAAACCCAGAGCATGTAAACACGTGTGATACATCACAGCTACGTAAATACTTACTGAACACAGTAGCACTGGAAGGAACTATCAGGATATTCTGCCTGGAAAGGCTGCTGACTCTCCACAGTTCCAAACCACCAAGCGTCATCTATTATACTGCGAAATCTATCCCCTATAAGGAAGAAGATTGCATTCAGCAAAAGAACACCACAAATAATTGTTAAATACTTCTTTTTAGAGACTCGATTTCATCTTTCAAAAACGCACTACTCCGATTCTTACATTTTGCACTACAGGAATCAAGCCCTTCCCCTGAAGGGAGGACTTTCACATCTCTGGTTAATTAGTCACAGCCGCTCCATGCCTCAAATTACAATATAACAGGACATTCTTCTGCTATCACAGGCCTTGTAACAGTTTCAGTCATCTGTCTTTTTCTGCTACAGGAATTGTAGCAAACATCAAATAAAGTTTCCAACAATTGCTATAATATCATGTGTGGTGTAGTCCTTTACATGGTGTAATACAGACACCGTATCCTATTAAGCAGCTGCAGAAATGTTGCAAAACATGGAAGTGGAAAAAAATAGTCACCTATTTGCCAGTTCCTTTCTTTGGCTTCATTATAAAACTGATGCAGCACAAGGAAGTCAATAACATCTGGCATATCATGGTACCTTCATGAAAAAGACAAAAAAAATTGCTTCTATTACCCACAAACATAGTTCCACACGTACAATACGGACAGTCTCCAAACACATTTCATGCATTTTGTTTTCAAGTTTGGCGTAGTAATGAATTAAGGCCATCACCATGCCTTGCAAGAGAAAAAAGAAAGGAGGAGGGGGAAGTTTCTAAACTGCAAGAAAATCTCTTGAAGAATGTCATCAGCATTTCAGTTACTTACTTTATGGAAAATGATTCTCCTGTCATTTTGCCTGTGATTGGATCTAGGAATGCAAGCTTCAAGCAGCAGAGCGTAGGAGGCCCAACTTCATATTTAATTCCTACAGTCTTCACAAATTCTTGTTCCTGTTTATCAATAAGCATGGAACAGTATTATTTTAACAACAAAAACATCCAGTACCAAACATATTAATAAAAAACAAATATGTTTCCACTCTACAGCCCAGGTAACTTCACCCATAAAAGTTTCCTTTTCAAAATACTAAAAAAAATTAAAATCAATCGCAGTCACCTTAAAAATGAAAAAGATAGAAGATGCTCATTCCCTTGGTAGATTCATGAACAGGATACCCACGAATTATTTAACTTTTGTAATAAGGTTCTAAGGAACATACCACTCTGGTTTTGACCACACTGACAGCACCAGAGGTTATACCTGACTAAACCCAGGGCCTCTCACCCTTGCGTAGCAACACACAGGGGCAATAAAAGGAAACTCTTCCTCTTAAAGCGGAAATTCAACAATAGCCTTTACGTTCACATCCTGTCAAACGTCAGCCGGTGGTAAGACCGCTATCCTAAATGAGATACTATTTCCTTTGCCTTACAAACTGATGATGCCTTTGAAGATTACAGCTGGAATCACCAAATACCTAGGACTAGTAACTGGATATTTTTCCAGTAAAGCAATTATTTTCATTAATAGAACCACTGGCACACACATATACGAATATTAGCACATATATGTGCTCTTCTCTCAATATGAAATCTGAGTAAAGCAGAAAAAAATATGGCAACACTGTGGATTAAGTATTAAGGGACTCAGTGGTTCAAAGCAAAAGGATAAGAAAAATCCACAGAACTATGTAAACCTAGTATCTACCCAAGCAACCCATCATTCTTTTATTTTGTAAAAATATGTTGTAAGATATTGTCTTGCTCTGCCAAGAATTTAAGAACATACACAATTACATGTTTAGCTAGATCCACTGTTTAACAGAGCTTGTGCATACACTTAGGTCTTTACACCATGACGTCTTACTTCTTACCATACCATTTGAAACAACAAATAGAACCTAGATGCTCAGGTCATTGTAGAGCGTCAATAGAACTATAAACAGCTTTTGAGTAGTGAGTTCTGCATGAATTAGTGTTAAGAAAAAAAAACAACAGAGTTGGAAAGTAATTTGGGTTGAAAGTGACCCCTGAGAATCATCAAGTCCAAAATCCTGCTTACGGCAGGGCTAACGTCTGAGTTAGATCAGGCCACTCAGAGCCTGCCCTGTCAAGCTTTGAGAAGTCGTCAAGGATGGAGATTCCACGCTCTCTCTGGGCAACCTGTTCCAGTGCTTAACTACTCTCACTCTGACTTTTTTATTTAATATTCTACATTTTTTAATCCATCAGAATACCACACTAGATAAACTTGCACATTCTTTAATATCCTTGTGGTTTCCTGTTATCAGGAACTGAAGAGATATAAAGCCTTTGTGTTAATGAAAACACTAATTTTAAGATTTACAATTTTAATTTTGGTATTAACATTTTAAAGTAATGCCTTCTTCATGTTTTTCATACTGGTTTATAATGTCAATTTAACATTACAGAGATGTTCAGCTCTTTGAAGCATTTGTTTAACTTACCCTGAGTTCCATTTTGTTCCATGGTTGTTTTTGCATGTTAATACTGTAAATTTTTGCTTTCCTTACTGCCCGCACATAAGCTTCATGGCCTTGCCTAAAGTATATGATCTTAAAAGAAAATTGAAACAAAAAAAGTTTATTTTATTTTACTGATAGTTCTCTTCCTGTTTATTCTAAAATTTCCACAGACATGTCAGGCATCATCCCTTTCAGAACATATTGCATGCTTCTTTATTGCATTATAGAGCACTCTTCTCCTTCAAAATATTTATATCAGCCCCCAAAGTGGCACCTGCTATGTGCTTTCAAACTGGGATCATTAAGAAGTGTGCAGGTTTGTCTGAAGATGCACAATCAATTCTTCCTGCTACTCAGAAGTTACATGTGCACAAGAGGCACAGGACAGCTACCTGTAAACAACTGATTGCCTGAGGAAAAAAAAAGAGTTATCAGAACTCAGCCTATCTTGAGCACGATTCACTGAAAATATTGCTAGATATAATAGTCCTGACCAAAACAACCACCTCAGCCTAGGTGGGAATTTCTACACTCATTACCTCATCTCCCATTTGTGGGACAAAAGGCGAGCGGCGGGGTATAGTATCCAAGATCCACTGCGGGGCAAGCCATTCTTCACTGGGTTCACCTTCCATTGAAAGCAGTCCACTTGGTTTCTTAAATATATTACATTATATTTAGAATGCAAGCTGTAATTACGATGGCAGAACATATGAAAAACTGATCATACAGCACCTACTGAAGATAACTAGATTTAAGGGCAAAGCAAATGCTGGAATGACAACCTTCCTAAAACCTCAAATAAATAGTAGGGAATAAGACATGTTTGTTATAAACATAATAGAAGATTAAAAAATTCATAGACAAAGCGATTATATTTCTTTCCTTAGAAATACTCTAAATGTCTTCTTTAAAAAATACTAGGAAAAAGAAATCTGGCAATGTAGATACAGTACAGATGTGTTATAATTTTACAACAAGACCACCTTGGAGTAAATCTAACTGCAGTGAAGAGCATAAATCTAGGAGAAAACATCCCACCTGTAATGGAGAACTACCTGCATGAAAATGGAAGTACATCTATGTCACCGTAGCACCAAAACAAAACAAAACAAAAAGTACTCTGGTATTACAATTATTGTGCTATCTATAGGATCTTTCTTACTGTATATTTGTTTGTCAAAAATTTTATTTTGAAAACAACCACTCCAAAAAAATGTATATTCATAAAGTCAAAAAGACCCTAAAAAATTAAAAACGCTGACCTTTTTTCTAGGCTGTTTAAGTTTCCTTCGTTTTGGCTCCAGTCCTTTTGTTCCCTTCATATTTTCATCTTCAGAACTACTACAGATTTTCCGAGCTGCCTGCCTGGTTTGTCTCTTTGGAGGCTGGAGATTAATTCCAGCATCTGCTGTCCAGTCAGAATATTCACTTGATGAATCACTGTAGATAATAAAAAGTTGTAAGAAAGAAAACAGCACTTCAGTTTTCACACAATGGAGTGAAAGGTCCAAACATTCAACCTGTTCTTCTGGTTATGTGGAACAGATGTCAAGATTAGCACAAAATTTTCTTCTCATGTGAATTTAAAGAAAACCTCAGTGCTATCTAGTTTGTGTATTTCAGCAAATTATTTTATCAATTGCAAACTCACGGTAAAACTACAGTTATGGCTGATACCTATTTTCATACTAATTATCTCACTGATTCATAGACTGACTTCGTAAGACCTGACTGCACAAAACGCATGAAAAATTTAGAAAACTAGAGCACTCTTCTAAAAATACTGTTCTGACTTCTTTAATATCCAAATAACACATGTACAGTATTTATATTAGCTCACGGCCCTTCCAGCCATAAAAGCATAACATTAAAAAAAAGAAAAGACACTGTAGAAATTGTACACAAATACATATTGACAACAGAAAAATTAGGAAACACTGAAGTATGAACAGAAGATATGTATGCACTTCTATTGCATTTCTATTCTATTGTACAATACAATTCTATTGTATTTCTATTGCATATGAATAACTGGTATTGATGTTTTCAAGCAGTTCTTAATTAAAGACAACATTTTCTTACAAATGGTCTTTCAAAATTGTTCTTGACTTCAAAAAGAAAGAAAAAAGCCCACAAAAAATACAATATAAGATGTTTCATGAAGAATTGGGGAAAAAAAAAAGTCAGTCTTCAAAATTAGGAATTTTTCACAGTGGTTTTCTGTTGAATACTGTTATAAAAACTTCTACAATTACTTAGTCACCCAAATACATAAAAGTATTTGTCTGTTCACAGACTCCACAAATTTCGTCGGTTACCGTTTTAAATTAGCTAAGTGTACCGAACACTTTGCTCCGATCTGTCACAAAGTGTAACAAATCTGCACTGACTTGTAGTCACAGTATCACAACATCAACTGTCTTACTTAAATTACGTGATTGACTAACGTTGACAATTAAGAGAGCAGCAAAGCTACCTGGAACTGCTTTCACTTTGCCATGCTGCCACAGGATCATCCATAGATGCATCACTTGTGCCAACAGTCTCATCTTCCTGTATTAAAAACAAAAGGCTTCACTTTTGGGCCAAGTTAAAAATGTATCATTTTTGTTTGCAAGCAAGTTATATGAGTTGTCTCACCTGAGGAAAGCTTCGTATTTAAGGACTGGTTTAGCTTAAAGTAAGTCTACGATTTCTTTCTGTATCTTAGCTAATATTATACTATATGCTTATATAATTTCTGTAGAAAGAGATGTGAATTTTAATGGTATTAGAACCATAGAATGAGTTCTTATTTAAGTGTTTGATTAATAAATTTTAGCGTCAAGTGACCAGCTTTACAGCTATTCTGTATGTTCAATGCATTTACAAAGTGACAACGTTCAGTCTCTTTTTACTTTGCATGCTTCCTTAATGAGAACAAGTTATATTTAATCTGGTATATTTTAAGTTCTTCCCTTGCCAATATCAATGATTAATACCAATACTCAATCTCTTTCAACAGCAGTCTACAGACGTAGGTGAAATCAAAGTGCCGAATGCGACCTAGGATATATGTGCAGTATGAAATCCCCAAATACCAAGTGGTTTAACACAACCCAGTTAAATTTACTTGAAAATGTTTCAGATTTCCAAAAATACACAACCTGTTTTAAGCTAGTTTTAAATACTGTACTGGCATTGAGGTAAATGCTCCTTCTCTCTCCAAGATCAACTTGCTACACTAACACCACAAATCCAAATGACTCAATGATTTCTAGTTTCTTCCTAGGTGGAGAAACTCAGAGCCTTAACGGTAACAGTGCTCTCAGCACATCTGTTGTCAAACTACGCTCCTTGTGAACAGGGAACCTATTGAAAGGATCACTTGACGTATCAGACCTCTGAGGAGCTGTCTGATTCTTCTCGGGCACGTGCGTTTTGACTTGCTCCTTGCTGGTTGTGTTCTATCGTGGAGCGTGTTTGGTAGGCATGCTGGCGTTTGCGTTGGTTTCTTCTCAAAGACCTTCCACTTCCTGGTTGGTAATCGTTCTTTTATCACAGGACAGGAGGGACAAAAAGAAAAAGATTAGAGATTTAATGATGAATTACACAGTTAAAAAACACCTCCTTAAAGTGACTGTACATTGTACCACATCTACAAGTGACAACTAAGAAATCTAGAATTAGAAAAGATATTTTTAACACACTTGTGGTTCATTTCAGTGCACATGCAGACTTTTTTTTTGGTCCAATATCAATTCTACTTTTTAAAGTAGCAGTCCTTAGAAAGGAAGTTATGGAGAAATATAATTTTTTCTAAAAAATACCTGCAGTCTCTGGATAAGAGAAAAGCTAGCCCCTTAAAAAAGTGTGGCACCTCTAATATTTCTCCTAGTTTCCACAAGTCAAACTGAACATCCCCTGTGGCTCTGCTCTTTTCCTTTCCCAGCTTCTCCCCACTGCTGAAGCCTTACAGATAGAGATTTACCACTGTAAATACTACAATCTGAAAACAGACAAATTACAGTTACGGAAGGAAGGGAGAGAGCCAGAGACACAATTAGTACTGTTGATCTTCTAAATCATTTAATAAAATTGGGTTTGGGTTTTTTTTGTTTCTCTTTTTTTTGCTCTGTTCTCAGAGCTGCTTCACACCCAGGTTCTCTCTTCTACTGAATTAACTCACCCGTTGTAAGGTGTGGGATGGCTTTCTCTTCTTTTCAACAGTGTATAAATTAATTTCAATTTCACCTTTGGCAGCTCGACATTCTTCCTGGACCCTAATTATACATAGGAAACATCCATTTTATTCAATAAATCATCACATAACTTGACAGTTTCATTAATATACACATTAAAATACTTCTGGTTCCCTTGCTATAAGAAATTTGAGCACAAGTCCTCCTAGCAGCATCCACACATACTTCACTCCTGGAATTACAAGTTAAGGAAGCAAATTTGTTAGTTGAGCATGCATAATTATTTTCAAGAAAATTGAACTGTATTAGAATTATTTTTTGTGTTTTTTTTAAATAAAGCTTCAGGAAAAATGTGGTATGTGAACAACTGAAGAAAGATCCAATTGTGAAGAGAAGGAATTACTATTCTCAACTCTCCAGCAGAGGCTACCACTCTAATCCTAATATCTGAGTTTCAAAACCAACCAACCAACCAACCCACCCATGCCCAAAAGCCAACACATTTCCGAAAAATCGTTTTTTAAAACTCATAACAGGTGTATGGAAGAATCATTAAACATTACACAATTTAATCTTTCTTCCTGTCTCACTTAGCATCTTACTTGCTGATGCCTGGAGGAAGCTCATTCACCACTACTCTCCTGCTCCACGCCATGAGATCTCTCTCCGTTGCCATTTGACTTCGGGGAGCATTGTGATGCATTTGCCGGACCCCTTCAATCTGACCACTTCTCCGGAGACCAACGTTTGGTGGAGATGTAACATCCAAACCTGGACTTCGAAGAGCTAAGGAAGAAAAAGATTTTTCTTCACTTCTACAACCCATCAATAAAATCCAGAATGTAAAGCTTAAGGACTGCACGGAGATTCTGTTTTGGCAATAAACAACACTTATTCTATGTTAAGTGGCTTTGTCTTTTGCTTCAGATGAACTTTTTTGTGTATTGGCCTCGGACTACTGGAGATGCGCAGGCTACTGCAACATCACTGTGGCTTGCTGTATCTTAGAGATATCTGAGGCAAGCAAAGAATATAATCTATGAGAAAAGTTTTAAAGGCACTTAAGTGACCTTCAAATCAAAGTCTTGTCAACTGTTTAAAAGGCTCTGAAATCATGAATCTTAAATTCTATGGTACCAGAAAAGATGAGGTTGACATCTAAAATAATAGACTGCTGCAAAGTTTAAGGTGTCTGTTGTACCTCCATTTGTTCTGTATTTGTAATGCTTATCTACTGTGCCACAGGCACTGCTCCTTCTCTGGGCTTTTCATCAGGTGGCACAACAACGCAGTACTACGTAGTCAGGAGAAAACAGAGACTGAATCTTTAGCAAAGTGAGACAGAAAGACTGATAATATCAGAATCGCTGCTAGCACTGCCTTAATTTATCTCATCATTTGGGAATGCATCAACACAATTTCCACATGCTTAAATATGGTTAACCGTGTGAATAAATTGCATTCACGGTTGTGCAAACCTATACAAAAATACTCGGCTGTTAAAACATCAAGTACTTTATATATACTCTAATTAACTCACACAAATGAGCAGTTCACGTAGCAAAGCCACTGATCAATGCAAATTCTGTAAGGTCACAGTACTTCAATTTCTATACCACTCACATCTGGAAATCCCCTTTCACACAAATACAGGGATATACAAATAAAATTGAGAACTAGGATTGCACAACACATCAACCTATCATAAGAAGCAGAAAAGACTTCTTGCGAGTCAAAGCTGGCTTCTAGGCCACCTTCTTGACAATACCAATTTAGATCAATGCAGAAGTGTATTTTCAGCATTTTTCACTAATATTTTTCCTATTCCTTCTTGAATTTAAAAGACAAGCAACTCCAAATCTAGCAATCCTAATGAGCTTTGCCAGGAAATCTAATTCAAACGTGTAATCAGTCATTTAACCTAGAACTAACTTATTAGTGAGTGTAAATTTTTTAAAAGCTCAGGATGACTTGCAGCACAAGTCCACAGCATCTGCTCTCTTACGTTGACTGCACTCAGTCAGCTGCCTCACAGTCAGCTGTTCACATCTGATTGAGTTTGTTTTAAATTTTTAATTACTTTGTGTATTAAAAATAAAATCACAGTAGCAGAACACTTACCAGGAGAATAATCTCAAGCTTTCTAAGGAAACACTAAGACAGAGCAGACATGTTTATTTTATAAACACTGATGCTCAGCCTTAGCATTTATGCTGCAACAGGAAGCCATTAGTCTGTCACAACATTGTATTCCATTGACATTCTCTAATTATATGCTGTTATCTTGACATTATGCAGTTACAAAGCATCATCTCTGCAGTGACTGAAATCAAGACAATACAGTGAACCTTATGTTTATTTTTTAGGAAAGGTTTATAACAAGAATAATTACAGTCTAACAGTTCTAGGTAATCAGATACAGCCCAGTTAGACCATTGCGTGCCCTCAGCTGCACCTTAAACTTTTAATTCCTCTGCTAGCATCAGTAGAACGTCCAACTGCTCCACACAGGTTAACTATGTGTGTAAGAACAAGAGAGAGAAGCATCCTCAGAGACATAGTCTCAGAACTTACGTCAACCCATTTTGATTAGTACCTTACTGTGCTTTAGGAAAAGAAATGACGGAGGTAACAAAGGGACACTTACCTCCATTAACAGAGTGGGATCTATTGAGTGGAGGGTTTGGAAGAGTTTCTCCTTCATTAATTAGTCTCAGATCTTGTTCCCTCTGTAGCTCTCTGATCATTCCATCAAGGATACTCTCATCCTGGTCATTAGTTTGCTGCCCGATGACTTGTTCAACTACTTCACCATCACCTTCACAAGAACAAAGCCATAACTGCTTATAAAATGATTAATTTCTGTTTTACTAAACACCATAGAAACAACCAAATTTAAAATTGTGCACAATTATTTGACTGCTCTGCAAAACATCTGATCACCAGCTGGCCTTCTGCTCTCATCTAATAAACAGAGGCAAAGTTTAAAAGAGAAGTTACAATAAAAACCTAAAAGTACAGACCACAGGGAAAAATATAAACACAAACCCTTAGAAACAGCAGAAAGAAATTATGCTTCAGTAGGTAATAATGGAAGATCTCTTCTGGAGATCAGCATTTTGCAAAAGTTTATGTCTACAAGAAAAAAAAACCCGTTTTAAAAACCAAAAGCTATTTTTTCAACGTCTGTCTTACCTTCCTGCTTCCTTACTCACATACACAGTTACACCAAGGTTAATGGGACAATTCTTTAAGCGTGCTGCCATATACCTGGTAGAAGTCCACACTTCTTGCCTCCAGTCAAGTTGATTCCATAAACTCCCTTTATGCCATAAAGCCACCCCATCTCCTCTTCTACCTCTATACTGAATTTAAACCACTAGTTTCAGAAGACAACTGGAACAAACAAATCCTTATAGTACCATCCTACTGAGCTGGTGCTCAATGCTGTGCAATACATGTATTATGCAAGAGTTTTAGACGGCATACCATTAGCTACATATCCCAGCTGAGGAATAAGCTGTTCATCCTTGCAGTTTTCCCTCCCTGGTACCAGCCGCTGGAATCTCGTGGGATGAGGATTTCCATCAACATCCACCAAGAATGGAGGAGGCATAAGATGTGGAGCCTGTTGAGTCTGTTCATCCAACACATAGTTATTTGCATCGCGGATCAGTGGTCGGTAATCGGTATGGAAGAACATCTGATCTGGAATCTGCAAGAAAAGCAATTTAGTAAGTAAATCAATGGCCATTTGCAGCTGTCTTGCTGCTTTGGAATGGCTCCCATACCCATAAACCACAACTCCTATGCTTAGGATCAGCAGAAGAAATGTTATAACAGAGAACAGATTCCTACCACAAATGTGTTTTATTACCAAGGCTTGATGCAAAAATTCAATAGCAAAATATGCCAACAGAGGTGAATAGATAGAAATTAATGGTTTGTTCCCCTGTCTAGAGATTCTCTTGTCTAAATCTTTTTGATCTAGGCAAACAGCGACTGCTTCATGATCTAATTACTATTTTGTCTGGGGCAGGGTGAGGGAATAAACTGGAACACAAATACTTCTAAGACAAAATCAGGTCAAGACACAGAAGAGTTTAAAATTCATTCAACCCACCTTTTCATAATATTTATTGCATCCAAAACCAAATAGTAGCAGATGTCCATGAGAGTCTGTGCAGGCAAAATGCTGTCCATCTGGTGAGAACTTGCAATCAAAAACAGCTCCATGGCCTTGGCCCTCAATCTGTATACAAGCACAGAGCATTCCTTTCACAGTCATGCATTCTCTACAAGAGCATTTTTACAAAAATTTCACGTGTGCTCCAACAAGTATTTAATCCTAATTCTGTGTAACTTCTCATCAAGCTCAAGACTGATTTACACTTATATTTTTTCCACTTAATTATTAAAGCTAAACTGAACAATGCAGTAAAGCCTTGCATTCTCTCTTTGTCCTGAAATTTCGGTACAACTTTTAATGTATGTTCTGAAACAACTATCTAGAAATCTACATTTTACGTTAACGGCAGACATAGGGCAAGCCTGCACCAAAGATCTCAGACATGTACTGGCTCCGTACAAGCAGGTTTCACAGCCCCAAGTGCCAGGAGGCTAGCTCAGGTCCTGAAGCAGTACAGCTGCGTTTGCTCAGCACTGGAACCACACCAACAAACCTGGCACTGGGCGCATTAAGACAGATGCAGCACGGAGCCAGCCACACCGTTTCCCAGACCGCAGCATTGCGCTACAACACACAGGCTTACTGGTTTTCATTGCTCTACCCTGGGAGTCGCTATGATCTTTTGCCTGGTATAACCATACCCATACACATTAAAAATATTCAGATGGAACAGATCCCATGAAAGACTCGCTGTTACACTCACAATATGCAACAACATACTTTGGCATTGCTTACTGAAGAGTACAGGGGCTTTTTTTTAATATGTAGAAGTTTTCCCCTAATCCTGTTGTAACATTGGTCACAACAGGTATATAATGAAATCTGCTTTTGCCTCAAGACCAGTTTTACACAAATGTGAAAAAGACCCCACCCTTCCCTGATCATTCTTACCATGTTAAAGTAATTGCGAATTTTTGTTCCTTTGTCTATATCCCAAACAAAAATATTTCCATCATGACCCGCCGAAAGTACAATCCTTTGGTCAAACGGATGGGCCTCCAGAACAAAAACTTCATCATCGTGACCCTGCAGTGAAAGCGGGGTGAAAAAAAAGGTAACATTTCTCCATGTAACATCTCCAAACCTGCTAGTATTTAGTGTGAGGACATCTCAGTTCAGGTAGTCATCCATGACAGCTCAATTTACTGGATCTTAGACTAGACCTGTGTCTGTACTTAGGCAACATTTCTGTCAGAGGCTTGGCATGATCACTGCCCACTTTGCAAACGCCTCGGACTGTAGCTCAGCACAGCTGAGATGGAGAGGGACGGGGAGGAAGGAGAAATCAGCAGCGAGGACAGCCGCAACCCTCCAATCTGGACACAAACGGTGGCCTCCAAAGGGCTCCCTTTCAGCCAGCAATCACCAGGGTCTAGCAGCATTTTGGTCATCACCTCCTTTCCCCATGACACATACTCCTCCCAATAAGCGTAAGACAGGTGGCATACTTCAGGACAAAACACTCCCCGTCAGGGGGAATGATGATGCAGTTTAGCCTCAAATCAATTTCAGAGTTGAACTATAACCATTTGGGATTACCCACTTGAATTTTACTCACAGATAAGCTATGAAGAAGCTGCCCTGTGGACGAGTTCCACACTTTGAGAAGGAAATTGTTGACTGCAGTGATGACAGTGGCATCGTATCTATCCCAAGCCACCATAGTAACCTTCAGTTTTGTCACCTTGTCCTCCCCAGATGCTACACTGTTTCTAAAGAAATTAATAATTTAAAGAAGAAATAAATCAGTAACTACACATGGAAACATGTAACAGTGCTAATTCAGTATGAAATTAGGGAGAGCATGGCTGCCACCACTGTGGCTACTGGCTAATGCAGGAGAATGAAGGATGGCTTCTGCAGTGGTAAAAAACAGAAAATATACAGTACCACTGTATATTTATGTATTTTTATTGTAGATTTATAGAGTTTTATTTCCTTAAAAAGGAGAAGTTTCTCTTCTGTTCTTCTTAAGCGATCATCCTCGCCTACCCCAATACTTTCTTTCAAGCCATTCAGTTCTACTAAGTTTTTTCCTACGAGGCATTTTTCTTATCAGTGATCCATATGAGTAAACTCTATAATGAGCAAAAATTTGCTAAATGAATCCAAATCATACTTTGACAGCTAACTTATTAACAATGCTACCGTATGAAATATAAAGAATTCTGCACAGCAAAATGCCTAATGGATTTCTCCACCTCTGCTTTTTGTTACTGTGCATATTCAATTACAAGGCCACTTACAGAAGTCACTTGAGGATCTCAAAAAGAAAAGCTCGAAACCCTAATTGAACTGGAGAACCAGATCACCATACCTCATCTCCCACTTGAAAACTTAAGGAAAAATACGATGTTAAGAAACATTCTGGATATACATATTACAGAAATTTTGCCAGGCAAGTCAGGCCTTGGAATAAAATAAGAAATCCAAAAATGTGTTTACAAACGAATGTTGTTAGGAAAAAGAATCTATGTCACATCTCTCATTAACTTTCTGCTTACTGTCATTTGTCCTCAGGTGGGTAAAATAAGCTGTAATGGGCAACACCTTTTTTTTTAACTAAAATTATTTACTAAATTTATTTACTCGAATAGTAACTGGAATCATAGAAGAAACTGTCAATTACCTACAACAGTGGCTGTGTGATGCCAGAAACCGTTGAACATATGCATATTTACATTCATATCATACATTTTGCTCAGTTTTCCTCTATTCTAACTTTATCATTCCTTACAATTTTAACTGCATTCCATAGCACAAAAAACAAAATAGCACAGCATATGACATAAAATAAATACTAACGACCTGAGGAAACTGATTACGGCAGTTGCTACTATCTGAGAGCTGACAGAAACTAACACTTGTTTTGGACATTTTTTAAAAAACATGCAGGTCAGCATATGATCAATGAGCTTCTATTAAAAACCTCTTCCTGTGAGATGAACTCTATTTGGCATTCTTTCTTCATACATAAAATACTAAATATTCCCCAACCATTAGGGTAAGGAACTACCAAGGTATTAATGTTGTCTTTTAGGGGCTAATTAACTGTGTAACTTAACAGAGCCATGGCATTTTCAATACACAAAAAACATGCACTGAAATTAACTCAAAATGGAAGTAAATAAATAGTTTTCAGTACGACGGAAGATTTTGTTTTGTGTGTAAATGTTGCTATGAAGTGAGTTCTGTTTTGGTTTGTTTTACCCTGTCATCTTAGTAGCCATATCCAGGACTACACTCTTCCAATCTTGCTGCTGATAGTGCCATATTCTTGCTGTTCCATCTCTGCTTCCACTGACAAATCTTAAGCTATGGAAAATAAAGAAAAAAAAAAAAAGTCATGAAATTCTGAGTAAGCATAGGTCACTGCTGCTTTTGGTCTAATACCTACATGCCCATCTTAGGAGCTTATTTTCTCACTATTCAGTAGCTTCGCTATGGAGTTTTCCATCCTCAGCAACAGTGTGGGCATGCTAAATCCTGCGGCAAGAATATTTAGGAGCTTGGCAGAGGACTGTCATTCACCTTAGGAAAGGTCACTACAAGCACTTCCTTTTACGTTATTCTGCAACAAACATGGACACACGCACAGAAGTATATCTATACTTGGAAGTGTATACTTGTGCATATATACTTGTCTTACTCTATATATCCCCACACATAGGCGTGTTTAACAACTCATAAAATATCCATGAACTGCTGCCGCAGGAAACAGGCAGCTACAAAACGCTGGCAAGCCAAGAGCACACCCATTCGCACCAGCAGAGAAGCTAGAATGTATTTAGTCTTTTTTCAACACTTATTCTTTATATTGTTTGTGCATCTCTGATCTAGAGAATGTAATTAAAAGACAGTGAGGTTACAATTTTCATATCAGATATTGTACGGTACAAAAGAGTTTATATCCCACAACATTAATTACATTTGGCTACAGCTAGCAGATGGCCTTGGAATGACTTCAATGTCGTAATTCATACAAGCTGCACATTCCCTTTTTAATGACATCAGCAAATCCCTTGAGCAGTTCACAGTGGCAGCAAAGAAAAAGAAACTGTATGCCAGGAGTCTAGCATAAATTATAATACATTAACTTAGGGAGAGGGTGAAGACAGAGAAGGGAAATACCCAAGTTGAACACAAGTAGGTAGCCCTGCCTGTGAAGTTGAACGTGAGTATTTTCATTTTTAAACTCCTCCTTGTTTAAAAAATTCAAGCATCCAGCAAATGCATTTAACTACATCATAATGCTTTGGCTATCAATGTCACAGAAATCGTTTTTGTTGAGGAATTTGAAAAAAGCTCCTCAAGTAATACATTTTCACAGGATGGCCAACACCTTTAAAAGTATATTCCATTTATATACAAAATTACATGTAAAAAGGCAAGCCTATGCAATTTGATTTTAATAAGTGATTCTTTCACCTTTTCAGTTTCCCTGATCTGAATTTTTTCTTCGTGATGAAAAGAGTTTCTTTTTATTTTTACTTCTTTATGTTAAAATAAAAAGGAAGCTATTGCTTTTCCATTAAAAGCATCACTATAGCATATAATTTTCAGTGAGTATGTGACCTAACACCCCCCGTGAGACCTGCTCTCTCACATCCTTTGGAAGGAACTGTTAGCACAATTATACCGGTGCATTCCCACATAATTTTACGTGACAAAGATCTCGGAGTACAGGTGCAGTTCCACTGGCAAAGCTACAGTTTTGCTTGGAAGGCTCCAGCTTGCACACATCCCTTAAACCTTCTGCCAAGCAAAATAAGAAATATAAGCAAAAGCTGGCATAAAGCCACTTACATGAAGATGTTGATCACTAATCAAAGCCTGCCACGCCACACCAACTCAGCTGCGCCGCAGAAGTTTGACACACAGACATGCCTATAGGCACCTTTATACATTTTATCATGAGCATCCTGACTTTAATTCTTACGTAAGAGACAGCATCCTGACTTAGCACAGTTTTAAAAAATGAAAGCTCTGCAGGTTGCAATGGTTCACTTCAGAAATTTTAAGACCACAGCATTACTGTTATCATCTAAACTAATTAACTGGAAATTCATATATTTGCCTAGAAATTCAGGTATTTGCCAGGTATGTCGCCAGAGATAAGTAAATTACTATGAACAATAAAGCAGACCAACGAAACGATCATCAAGACCCACAGGTCTTAAGACTGTGCCTCTGTAACTGGTCCTGGACAGGCGGCAGCAACCAAGGACTGCAAGTTCAGAGAGTCTGTGGTGCACGTGTAGAGGAACTGTCCCGTATACTCAGTTCCAGCAACTGGTCAAGGTAAGTGCTTGAACAATAAAGCAGACCAACGAAACGATCATCAAGACCCACAGGTCTTAAGACTGTGCCTCTGTAACTGGTCCTGGACAGGCGGCAGCAACCAAGGACTGCGAGTTCAGAGAGTCTGTGGTGCGCGTATACTCAGTTCCAGCAACTGGTCAAAGTAAGTGCTGTAGCTCATCATTAGCCACATAAACGACCACAGACTCACACAGCCTTCACTCCAGGAAATGTGAAGATTAGCCCATTTATTATCACACTTGGTGATGTTAAGCTATCCAGACGTACCAATGACTCAGTGAAGACTAAAGATAGTGGGTTGCAAGGAGACACCACAAAAATACAGTAGGACACTACTGAAGTATTACATAAAACATCCAAATCCTTGTGAAAAGCCAAACAATTATAATGAGAAGAACATGTGTAAAGGAAAGTTTTACTCTCAAATGCAGACAAATTCAGCAGGGGAATTTTATCTACTAAGTAGACTGGATCCAAATTTGGGATGTGAGGATCAACTGCACCTTTACATCCCATTGAAGAGCTGTTCTTTGCTTATCCCCTTGGATATAAATCAGGGTTTTTGGGGTTGGTTTTTCCTGGCAATTTCAGAGTTACAAAAATACAAGATGAGGGATGAGGGCCTGGTTATTCATCATATCACGTATATCACTCCAGAACCTCACAGAAGTTGAGCTCTTATGAATTATGAGTATTTATGAAAACAAACACTCTTCCCATATTTTTCAGAACTCTGAGCACCAGAAGAGACAACTTGCTTATTCAATGTGCCCAGAGAGGGACTGGCAGAAGAAATCATCCACCAAGGAATTAAATGAGACAGACAGTAAAGGGTGGGTGCCTTATGTTTCAGCAACATATCAGCAATGTCATATTATTTGGAAAATGTTTTCAAATTATGCTAATCATTGGCTGCTTTCTGGTCCCCAGCTGGTATAAATGATACAGATAACATATGCAAGAGAAGTAAATTTTAACAAAAAAAACAAACATATACATAATCTATCAACAACACCATCAGCTTCAACATGATTCTCACACAGATCATAAATAAGAGCACAGTGAAGTAATGAAAAACAACCCCAAGATAAAAGGTAGTTCTACAGTTCCTTGTTTTCATTATGCATGATACTCATCATTTAGATGCCATTATTTCCTTGATTTCCTTCTATTTCACTTCTGACAACACACCAGGTCTTATTTCCCCTTTCATGTTTATGTTCTTTTCATAAATGACTGCACTGAGCACATAAGTGACTGCACAGGTAAAAGCACCTTGCAAGAGAGGCTCCTATAATGAAGGTCAGACCACAGCTCCTTGCAGACTTACTTGCCTGACCATCTGTGCATGTGCAACAGTTCTAAATTTTGCTTAGAACTACATTTGTTATAATGCTCTTACTCCAGAAGTAACCCCTTCTGTACTTAACAAGGCTACCGGTGAAGTAAGACACACTTACACAGAAAGGATACAAAATTTGGTTTCCAATTTGCTGTTTAAAAAATACAAAGCAAAAGCATAGTTACAGAATGTTTTTGTTGTTACGGCAGAGGACAACAAGTCCAAGCTCGTGGATATGACACACAACTTGCAACGTACTTTGAATAATTTGTCTAAGATTAATCAGAGTCCACGTGCAGTCTTCCTGTTGCACCAAATTTTCTCTGAAATGTTATTTGGAAAATTAAATACCATACGCCTCATGTCAAAATCCCAGGACAGCCACTCACCTGTCACCATTGTTACAGAACTGGACTGCAACCACTTTGTCCTAAACAGAAGGGAGGAAAAAAATAATAGTAAGTGCTTTGTAAGCTGAAACACTCATCCAAAAAGATCCTAATGATGAGCTTCTATTTAGCAAATTGCATCTTCCCATGCATCTCCTACAACATGCCATCTTACCAATTCAAGAACAGAAAAGTCATGTTTGAAGTTAAAACTTCCCCAGGCACGTCATATTAAACATTGAAATAGAAAACTTCAGAGAGGTGATGGTTTCGTGTTGCTCCTGAAGTAGCTCAGAGACAGAAACGATTTCCGACTCCGTCTCCCTGACGCTTAGACCTTCAGGAGGAAGAAGCTGCAGCAGCTTGTTCCTGCCTGAGCACAGTCTTCCTGCACAGTGCCACAGGACCACGCACACCCCGGGGTAAGCTCTGCCTGGGAAACTCTGCACCTTTGGGACTCCACAGAGTTAGCAGGAATAAGGAACCCCAGGAGCTCACAAGGCCTAGTAGGTACGGCACTCAACAAGATGGAGAAAGCACAGCTTAACCAAATAAATGATCACAGCAGGTTTGCAATTTTTAGACCTAACATCAGTGCATCAAAATATTTTATCCAAAAAATGCAGACCTTGGCTTTATTTCCACTTTTAAATTGTTGAGAAACAAATATTATGTTTTAGATATGGTTTTGCCTCTTTTATTTTGCTAAATACTTGTGTTGGTTACGTGCACTTGCTCTTTGTACTCCCACTGACGTCTCCAGCTCCTGATAACCAAGTGTCCAATTAGGGAATTTTTTTCGGGGGGGGGCTGACAGCAGCCTGTGGTATTAAGAAGAGTAGACTTTCAAAAATCAAAGGAATTACAGTTTATTCCAAACCTGAACTGCTGAATATAGAAAACATTTTTTCTTTTGCGAGCAAAATACTTGTCAGATTTGTTGGCTTGGAGCTCTGAGACTTAAATGTGAGACCCATGACTCCCACTGAAGTTCAGTGAATCAATTTAGACCTCAGTCTTAATCCATAAAATATTGTTCAGGTGGGCAGCTGGGCTATTAAGGTTCAAAGATAAATGCTCCAAACTCCTCACAAGTGACAGCCCTATCAGTGTGGCTATAAGCTGGCCTTTCTGATATATTGTTTACCATGCACATGATAAATAATGCAATCACCACCTACTCTCGGTAACAACTAAGAAATGAAGAAAGATTTGATACTGTTTTAGTGACACTTCTTTATGGGGTTTCATTAAAACTGAGACGTTCAACGGTTTTAATACAAGCTATCAAGACTCAAACTCGAAAACTAACATTGAAAGTCATCATACAGATATTTAAAATAGTCTGAGTTTTTACGAGAACCCTTCTGCATTACCCGAGAAAGGATGCTTTTAAGCTTACTTTATTTTCTAAATGAAATTACCATCGTGATCCAAAGTTTGACTGCACACTCTAAAACCAGAATTACTTCGTTTTTTCTCGTTACATGGATTTGCGGTCACAACTGAAGTTAAATACTCGACAGTAAATTTAATAGGAAAAATCACATCGTACATGAAAACTGCTTTAATTGCCCATTCCAACACAGACTTTCTTCAACAATATGGGAAAATCATCTAGTCCCTCAGTTTCCTGGGGGAATGAAATACATAAAGCATGTTTTGCACACATCTCCTGCCTCAGAGGAATTTAAAAATAAACATACCACAAATTTTCAGGCATTTAAATAACACAGTGTTGAGAACCAACTCAACTCTAGAGACAGAAAACAAGCTGAATAGGATGTACACAATCGAAGTTCCTGAAATAAGATAAAGCGGGGAAAAAAAAGATTTGCTTTCCAATTTGTCTCTTACCGTATGAGATTCTAACTCAGCCATTTTCTCCGGAGATTCTGAGCCCAAATAATAAATTCTTATCACGTGGTCAGTACTACCTGTTGCAATGAACATGCCACCTAAGAAAGACAGTGTTTTCTGTGAGAAGAAAAGCCATCCAAGGAACAACTAATTTTAATTACTGCTTTATTGTCAAAAGCAGCAAACCACAGTTTTAAACAGAAAATTTCAATGTAATCAAAACGTACTTCCTGAACAAAGCAGTTAACTCTGACAGCTTCTGCTTTAATCTGTATTTTCTCAGACCATATCAGCTTTAGCACAACTATGAGCTCTACAATATTTTCCAGCTGCAAACCTTTCTGACCAAAGGAAGAGAATATTGCAAGTTACAACATTCATCCAACAAACTATTCCGCTTTCCCTCAGAAATTACCACGGCGCTCTCCATCAGCCTACGTGGAAAATTACATGGGAAATAGTTTCATATTCTCACTGGTAAATACCAAAGAAAATATTTAAGCCCATCTTCAACATCTATTTGAAGCACATCAGAGAAATTATTGCTGAATCGGGAGCGAGCGATTAAGCTATTTTCTTATAATGTTTGTTCTATTTACAATATTGCACAAAAAGGGCACTATTGTGTAGTTTACTGCATTGAAATGGTTTCAGTAATGTCAGGATTTCTGGTTTTAAAAAAGGAACGTGGGCAAGGCTCCCATGGCTCTAGAATAGCTCTCAATTTCAGACAGCAAAAATTAATGAGAAATTACATCATTTTGCTTGTAAAAATCACTATTTTTGAGAATTCAAAGCTGCAACAAAGGATGGCAGTTAAGCTGATATTTTCAAACACATTGAACTGATCCTCCTAGAACTTAGCCAAATTTGGAAGATTACCAAAAGTGTAACCTCTGAACAGAGGCCACCTGCCTGCCAGATTTCAAGAACTTTTCACTCAAAAACTTTACAAGATAAAACCTTAAAAGGATTTACAAAGAAAAAGCTCTAATGTGCAAAACAACAGACTGAAAGCATAGTCTTCCTTGGAAGTGGCCAAGGCATTTTAGCTTAAATTATAGAAAAAAAAAGAGAAAAGGTAGCTTGAGGCAGACGCTTAGCACGGAAAATTTCAAACAATCACAATTTGGCAGTGCTGTAATTAACTGAAAAAGGGTTTAACACCATTTGTATTTAAAAAGAAGTAACAGTCTTGTCACCAAAGGAATTATAGATCATAAAATACTTTCAGCTACCTTACAATGCATACGTACCGGAACTGAAAGACGAACAAGATATCTGAACACCAGGCCTGGACCTCTCTGCAAATTTTACAGGGCGATCCCTATATGCAACAAGACGACATTTTTACTTTTCATTCCTTTATTCCAATGCCATTCAACAAGAGTAGTGCACTGCAGCTCAGCAGGTTAAGGTCAATATGCTTATCCTAAATCTCTTTATTTCAGAATTCTCACCTAAGTTTGCTAGAACTTATTTTTCATCTTAGTAATTTTCTTCCTTAGTTTAGTAAGAAAACCATCATTTTCTAAATTGAAAAGACTAACTTATTTCTCACGGTACTCACCAATTCAAATCTATTTAAAACAGAACCTGGCAAACCATTAGTCTAATAGCATTTACTCCCTATTAAGTATGGGTTCGATACCATCTACATATGTGTGTTCTTCTGATTAAAAGCAAAGAAGTTCTCCTGCCTGTACATTTTGGACAAGGATTTAGTCCTAAACATAAAAGCTGAAAGTTCTTCCACAACGCTGGCTTGCAAAGCACAAAACCCAGAAACAAAAGCCCCGATTTCTGCCTCCCCTCTGGGTTGTAATGCCACAGACTCCCCAACACACGTAAGAAAGCGCTCCCTGCCCCACACACTGGCACGGCACTCATGCACAGCGTGTCTATGGGAGAACATATCCCAAGAAACTTGTTCACTGAGAAGGAACACCCCCTTATTTCACTGTCCCAGCATTCCTCTCCGCGCCAAAACTCAACATAAATTTGTCCTTTATTTAAGATAAACAGGCTTACTTAAATTTCATGGTGTTAGCATGCCACTGCCAGAAACAGATTGTTCCGTCAGCACCAGTAGAAGTGAGGTATCGTGTTGTTCCTTTCCTTGCTGGAGAGAACTAAAAATAAAGTTGTAACAGTTAAACCAGCTAATTTCTTTCTCCCCTTACATACTGGAAACCTGTAAATGGATGTTGACAAGAACCTTTTTCATGAACATATTAGCTTTCTCCCCGGGAGTACAGAGAGCAGTATCAGGGATAAGCACAGAATCTGAACTTCCATAAAAATAAAGCTGAGGAATGGAAAATACCTACATTTTGACTAGCAAGTCTTTGTTTCTACCACACAAAGGTTAGTAAATTGGAGAAATGAAACGAGCCTAGACCCTTTTAATGGGCAACAAGATGAGGAAATACTTCTTTCTAGGATAGAACTGGATCAAACATGGTAACAAAGACAAAAATGATTCCTGCATCCAAGCCCAACGAAGAACAGCAGCACGGTAAGACCCCCACTCCCTCCCTCTTCCTGAACCTCTCCTCTGCCTCTCTAAGGAGTAGGAAAGCTTTTCATCCTGAAGTCTCTGACTTTAATTTCATAACTGCAGCAATACCTTTAATCCTCTGGCCACTTGGTAATTTGATAAAGGAATCAAGCACTGTTTCCTCAAAAAGCCATGACTGATTATTTTCTAAATTACCAGAGTTTTACAAAAAGCTTGTGAGGAATGTATATCCATGTAAACAAATAATATACAAACCACAAAACACGGTTGTAAAATATGTTTCCAAAGCAATCACCTTCAAGTAAGTAACTTGCAACATAGCTGAAATCAGACAAAATTGGAAGCGTAGGCAAGAGCGGGAGAAATGAGACTCCCAGGGACTACTGGCGTGACGGAGAAGACTGTGATGAATCAAAGGTAGCAAGGCTCCAGAAGAGAGGGATTCTGAGCCAAACATCCCCACTCGTTCTCCCCTCTATGCGCATAACCTGCCAAATTGCAGGAACTGCCTTTTTTATCCTGGAATTCTGTTTTGTTGGAGGTTTCTGCCTGGCTGTTGTGGCATTTTTTTTTTTTAAAGCAAATAAACTGCAAATTACTAGCCATTATTGACTGCGCCACCACTAGAGAACTGAGTGCTGGCAGTTTAGTCATTTTTTTTCCTGCTCTGCTATTGCTCACTGGGTACTTGCCACCAGCTGAAACTGCCCGGGCACAAGCGCAGATTCTCTGTGAACCCTGCTCTGTGCTGTACTGTGGCTGCTGCAGCGTCTAAGTATGCTACAACACCCAGAACAGCTCCTTACGGTACTGGCTAAGATAACGAACAAATAAGAAATGTGGAATAAGGAGTTTTAGCTGGCAGTATTCCTCTGAAAAATAAACGTTCTCTATGAACAAACGACTCTTGGGTCAGTCGCTGTGCAAGGACTACCACCAAAGATGCCAGCCGTGTCTCCCTGGCTCAGCTAGTTCATACGATGCTCTTGGTGACCATGCATTTGCTAGATCTAAGGAAGAAGCAATGGGACCCCATAGCTAAAGGCAGCTGGAAGAAGCAGAATCATCCCCTCCGGCAGTATTGGCCACTGTGCAGGAGTGAGTTTGCCAGGAAACAACACCCTCGAGTTGGGGCAAACCTGCACTGCCAAACAGAGATGAAAAGGTAAGTTTTATCCCTGATTGCTAATCCACATCTCTTATTACCATTTTAATTCAAAAGGTCATTCCTTACCTGTATGGAAGTAATGGAAGCTGAATGGCCCTGCAGCACTGCGACTGGGGCACAGGTTCGAAGACACCATACTCGGACTACTTTATCACAACTGCCTGCAGCAAGCAGCGTGTTCTCGTAGTTAACAGCCATGTCAGAAATTTCAGCCGAGTGTCCTCGCAACGTTGAGAGCAGGCGCCCATCATCTGTAGCCCAGATTTTGACCAAACAATCATCTGACCCCTAATGCCACACAAAAATTTCCAAAGATTATATAAAATAATATGTGTTATGCGTACATGATACACAGGCACACTGCAGATGAACAAGTACCTACAACACCACTGCGCCATGAACCTGCCAGAAGAGCAACAGCAGTGGGATTCCACAGAGGCACAACTATCTGAGTTTGGGGATCATCTTGTGGGGTCAAGGATTTAGATATTTCTAAAACAGAAGCCATTGTGTTATGCTTCATACTAAGATACGATTACCGCTGCTAATACAACTCCTCTCAGTACAGTTCAGTAATCATTAAGGTAAATTTAAGAAGACAAAATGTTTCATTACGTACTACCAACGGTCATATTTATCTGCATGAGCCAGATCAACACAGTAGTAAAATCAAAGTGATCATAAGACTCAAGCCCTAAGGAAAAAGAGCATTTAAGCATCTGAGGGATCTCGGAGCCTCTGCCGTGCTCCTGGAGCTGTAACACAGCTGTACCGTGAGGTTCAATTTTTGTGAACGGAAGAAAGTTGGATCACTCGAAGAGAGAACCCGTGCAACATCGTGTGCAACTGAAATACTATGTCAGTGAGATTTCAGTTCAGGACAGGACACAATTCAAAAGCATATCCAACGCAGATCACTGTAAAATACTTTTACCTATAGCAGCAGCTACATAATTTCATACTCAGTCCCAATATCGCCAAGAATTTTTAGACGGTTCACAGACCTTTCCACTCTTCAGATACTACAAAGAATACTAATACTAGTGGCTAGGATTGCCACTATATATTCAGAAACATAACACAGTAAAACTAACTGCAATATCAACATCATTTGACTTTAAATTACATTTTATTAACTGCAGCTAAATTCGAACACAGATCTCTTCCAGTTCTTCACATAAGTGCAGATGAGAAAGATTTCTTTATGGTGTAAACAAAAATGGAAAGGCCCTCACTATGACCCAGAGTAATTATCATAACAACATCTCTATTTGATCAATTTATAACAAGTGGAGAAGCTAGCAGGAACACAAAGACAACAATTAGCCTGCCAGATCTGTTTCTAAACACCTATTGATAAGAGACAAGGGCAAAGACAAGACAAGACAGGGATTAACATTAACAGTTAAAAGATGCATTATTAATTTGAAAAATCTGTTAATTTTTAAGTATGTGCAACAAAAAGCAAGGGCAGTATCACAGAAATGTATGTTAATATATTCTGGAGAAAAACTTAAAATAATATTGATATATTCACTGACATTCTCCAAATTCTAGAAAGAAAATTTAGTAGAGAAGTAAATTGCAGATGAAGTAATGAGGTCTTTTATTTATCATCAAGTTTTTACTGAAGTGTAAGGAAAGGGTTGCCAGCATTTCCAAGGTTACCAAAAGGTAAAATGTAGTTTCAAAAGAAGTGTTAAGATTTAACCCAGCAAGCAGCATGCAAATTAATTCCAACTCCCAGACTCCTGCAGGTGCCATTCAGTAAGAAAGACGATAAATAAAGAAAAATGAGCACGTGTTTCAAGTGAGAGTTGCACTGGACCGGAACAACCCTGATGTAAGGTTCTACATGGGGAAGCAAATAGCTGACTAAGTTTCAGTCTACCGGAGCTGTGAGCAATTTTAAAATACCAAGTCAAGTGAAATGTGAAAATTAGCATAGAAAGAGATGGGTTTTCCATACATTTCAAGATTTTTCTTCCTTTCTTTTTCTGGAAGCCGTGTCTGCGTCTCAGTCAGTAACTAAGAGGCTGTTGAGGGACTCAAGAAAGAAAGAAATCAAACCAAGCAAAGCAATCTTCCAAGAAAAGTACAATTTTTAAACTTACTGTAAAAATTCTTCTCCCACTGCGATCAAAGGCTATACAATAAACAGATGATAAATGTCCCAAAATCCTCTTATGCATCTTCATGTGTTGGTAGGTGGATGTTGGGAACAAGTGGCTGAAACGTCCACATCCAGTTAATTGTCTGGCAGAAATTATATTTACTTGGAGAGAAAAACAAACCAAAAAGAAAACTAAGACATGGATTTCATCCAGAACTCAAAGTAAATAAATACTAAATCAAATATAATGTTTGGTAACAACTTCATTATCACAATCCATAAATCTGAACCTCTTCCACCTTATCAGAACATTCTGTACAGTCTTGTAAAAAGAAAGCCTGCTCCTGATGAAGCCTTTCAATACCTACCACACCACACACTGCACATGCTTTCTTAACAAAAATTAAAGCAAAAAAAAAAGTTCCCACCACAACTAGAAGTTATTCCAATGTTCAATTCATGGACAGGCAACAGATACATTTATTCTATATGGATTTGGAAAACTTTATATTAGTAACATACAATTTCCTTAAAGCAATTACAACAAATTTATTTTTAGAGTATAATAATAATAGTTTATTTTAACTGCTTTTTTTGTGATAAAAATCTTTCTTTGGAATGGGTTCCAGATCATATGTGAGGGTGAACGGTCGTCCACGTGTTCCTCACAAAACCTCTCTCATTATAAGCAGCCGCAGCAACATCATTGCATTTCTATGGCAATGTAATTGAAGAATAAGAAATATGTGGCACTGATGGAAAAAGCCCCAGTCGAAAGAATGGCAGGCACAAGAAAAAACTGCAACAACAACAACAAATTATTTTGTCTTGCTAAATCTAGGAGTCCTTACAAGAACAGCCTGAAATCTAAAGGCACAACAACATCACGTAAAAAAGTACTGTTAGCAGTTTCGCTGACGATAACCATGGATCTTTCCACTAGACAGGAAAAGGAGAAAACAGGCGTGTATGTGCCGTTGCTGGGACACTCCACCAAACGAAGATCCCTGCGGCTGTAGAATACAGAAAGATCCTAATTCTAATCTTTGATTTGATGCATCATTTGAGATCATTTTGGGTATTTAATTTTACCTATCCTAACGTATACCACTTGAACTTTTGATTGTAAAGTTTTGAGAGGGTTTTTTCAATGGTACTTAAAGATCTAGCATTGCTATATCGGTGGGTTTTGTCGAGTCCTTGCGATAGCAGGCTCCCTGAAGAAACCCCTTATCTTGTCTACTGCACATTGAAGTAGGCAGGGCTTCACAGGAGCCGCGCGAAGCTCTTTAGTGCCTTTCAATCCTTTAGTTTAATAGTATAGTGAACAACTTGACCCATTTTCTTAATTGTATCTTCATATCATTGCCTATCTATGCAAAAAAAGGTTACAGAATATGTTAAAAAAAAAAATCTACAAAGTCAAGAAGCGTCATTTCAAAAGGCTACTAACCCGTAACACACTTCTGTACATTTATAAGATTGAAGTATTTATACACAAGCAGAGAGATAAATGGGCAAGGAGAATAAATTGTTTCCATATTTACAGAAAGTACTTTTGTTTCTCAGTTTCTCAGCTCTGAAATTTGGACTATTTTTAATCACTCAATGCAACTGAAACACTACATACTAGAAAAAAAAAGTTGCATAAAAGGTGTAGATGCTCGCAAAAGTCATCAGGCTCCCAGCGTGACCTCATCTTCAGTCAATATTTTTCATGTAAAAACACCTATTCAGCGGTACTAAAAAAGCAAAACACACTAAACCAAATTAATTTACTATCTACCTACTATTCAATTGATACCTGGTATTATGCAGGAACTGTTCAGTGGAAACTGTCTCCCCTAGCAAAGTAAAAATGAAATCTTCAACCCTTTTCCCCACCTCTTACAGGAGGGCACAGAGATCCCGTCGTGATAAATGCTGTACAAAGGTACCGTCAGGCTTGCCTACACATTATTTTATTTACTATTTAAGTATGCCAGCTTAAAAGCTAAGTTCTTAAAAATATTACACCTCCCTTTCCCCCACACTGTGGACACTGTTATGCCAACACAGAGATGTAGTCATTTAGCAATATGGTAATTCTGCTGTGCCTTTCACTGCTTAAATCATTTAAATACATAATAACAGTGTATCTGCCTTTAAACAATTTCAAATGGCTTTGAACATTTTTTTTAACCACACAAAGAACTGTGTGAATCAAAAAGGTATACTCGCATTTCAAAAATATTCCCAGTAATGACAATACCTGCTGTGCACTACAGTGTTCCCACGCAATCCTTCTGAAAATTTACCACTGCTGTTTGTTGTAAATCACACGAAGGCAACACTAAAAGGTGTAACAAACAGTCAGGCACCTAACTCACACAACCTTTCCTTTGGCACTCAGCACCTAACTTTTCCAGTCGGTTCCCAGGCTTGCAATCAGTTCAGCTTCAGAGGATGTGAAAGTAATTTCACTTTTTTCTGTGTCTATTTCCCTATTTGCACAATGGGGACAAGACTCCTCAATTTCCCATGGATAATTAAAAAATAAAAAGCACTGCTTATGAAATGCTTCAATCAAGAATTTCAGAGAAAAACAGAACTACTGTTGTGCCATAAGGAGCACCATCTTTATCAAAGCAACAGCACCTCTGAACAAAAAGCAGCAAGTATTCAATGTATCTGATCCTCACTATTAAAATGCTCAGGGTATACCAGAAACGTATGCCACGCACACAAAGCTGTGACTGAGATTTTTGTCCTCCCACACTTCATAAACTATCGCTGCCTTCAAAGGAACTGCAAAGTAAAACCCCCCACGAAACAACAAACATCCCCAATTCCAGTTCTCATATTTTTTGGTGGAAGATTAATACACAATATCTCAACAGGGAATTACACACACATGACAAAAAGCCCTGTGAAGTTTGCTTTCTTCAGTACAATGAAGTTATTGTACTCATAAAGCCTAAAGGCATTTAAAAAACCCCGATTCCCACACAGAGAATTAGCAACATAGTAGCCCTAAAAACTTTTAGCAACCTATCTAATTAGCTGCTGTACATCATGCCATACTGGGCGTAACAGCTGCCAAGTCTACCCCCTCACTATTTCCTGCCAGAAAAAAAACTTTGAAAACTGTACTGACGTTATTTCACATAAAAAGTGAGCATTTCTAGTATTCTTGTTAAGCCAAGTAAGTTAGCTTTGTCCACAAATGGAAAGGCCTTCTTCTCAGATGAAGTTCTTCTAGCTGCTGAAATGACGGCTACCCAGGTGCAGAGATGCCCCTGATGCGGCCGTGAGGGGTGGGCTTTCTCTCCCTCAGCCTGTGCTGGGAGCAACCTGCTCCGGCCTCAGCACCAGCACAGCCAGCTCCTGGCAAAGCCCTGCCTTACAGATGCACACTAGTGCCTCCTGGAACTACCAACCTGTAGTACTAACTGAGGGTGACACGTGGTAAAATGCATGCATTTTTCTGTCTGTTTATCAGAGTCCCTGGTCCCTGGAGGTCACACCTTCAGGAAAATTACAGTCCCTAGTGCAAGTACGGGCACAGTTGCAGGGGGCAGAGGGGTCGCATACACTGTACAACAGTAACTCTGAAATCACAATCCATTCTACTGGAGGTAGCAGCACAAATGTAAAAACCCTTGCAAGAAAGCTCACCTAGGCAGGATAAAACAAAAACACTGCAACAGAACCCATCAGTGAAAACAACATTTAAAAAAACAATCATCAGACATCGCAGATTTCAAGGTTAGGTCACAACTTCAGAAGGAATTAAAACATTTCAGCGTGGACAAAGTCACCTAGATGCAGCAGTTTTCAAACTGCTTGAATTCTTCCTCTCCCTATAAAGCCTTGCCTCGCTCCGTTTTTTGCGAGCAAAAATAGAAAACAGAATACTGGTGCAAACGTTTGTTTTAAAAATAGTTTCTCTAGTATTAAGGGTGATGAGTTCACATCGTACTATTTTGCCTTTTGAAATCAGCACCGTAACTTTGTAATGAGGACATAACATTTTACATAGCCAGGACACGTGGGAGTAAGCTGTGACCTCATCGTAGGGCCCGATCAAGCATGAAGATTGAGTACCACGCGCAGTGTGCAGAAGAAACACAACCCTGGATTTCATAAGAACGCTGGGAAATAGACACAGTTGGCTCACACATGCAAAATATCTTCTCAGAGAGTGGATGTGTGGCTAGACCCAGTAAAAGCACCAAAAGAACAAAGTGTTCCAGATTTCATAGCTGCTGACCTCATGGAGCTCCTTTACAGCAGAGAAACATCATCGATTTTCTGACCTCATCAGAGCACTGCTATTTGGCAGGCCTAAGGTAGCTGGATCACCTTGACTGTAAACTTCCATACAGCTGAACTGCTTGTTCATTGAGACTATGCAATGAACTTTCCGGTTCCAAATTCTGTGTTATTTCCACTAACAACAGTTAGTTACCCACGTAAAGATTTTCATACTCAGGATAAAATAGCTCTAGTACTCAACTAAAGAGGGAAAACAATCTTCTTTCTCATCTGCTTTCTGTTGCCTGCAATAAAAAAAAGTCTCTGATAAAACTGAAGCAGTATTCAAAAGCAGGTTTATCATATGTGATTAAATCCCACTGGTGAGGTACTGTATGACCAATCTTTCAAATTTCTGACCGGAAGAGCACAAAGGGAGTCCTGAACACACCGCTACTCCAAAACCTGCAAAGAAACAGCCTAAAAGACCATCCTCACTGTATTCACTCTGTTATTCTGTCAGCAGCAGAAAGCTGTGACAGCATTTTCCCTTCCTCTCCTCCCCCAGCAGACCACCACAGACCTCCAAGACTCAACACACAAACACCACCTTCCCGAGAACGACTTCCACAGGTCAGCACTTTCTGGGAGACTCCCCCAGCCAGAAGATTCCCAGCTCTGCACAAACACGCTGGGAAAAGGCACTCCACTTCCACTGTGCGTGACCTTTTATTTTGGAGTACAGATCGCAAGGTCCCATCCCAACCCCATCCAGACGGAAGGGCAAACCACTGCAGCTACCGACTCTTCCAGCTGGTGGGGCAACCACAAGCAATCCCATTCCCGCAGCAGAAAAACACACTTAGGGCAGCAAGCTTAAATCTTTATCACTGGAAGGGAAACGATCTAAGAATACTTTTACCTGCTAGTTCTACACCATATTTACCTGTCTACACAGGCAATTACACAATCATTTCATCTCACTCACGAACACACATTATTATGGGTGTCTATTACTTCAGCCCAACTACTTCAGCAAGTAATTCCAGAAAACTCCATCTGGCTAAGCCAGCACAGCATGGGAATTCACAATTATGCCAAAATATTAAAGAGGTTGGGCATGCTTCTTCGTCTTGTATTTTAAAACAAGACACACACACACACACACACTGCAGCATCTGTGGCTGTCACTACTCACCAGAAAAAGCACCCATTTTGCACAAATATTCACAGAAGAATTTTGTGACTTCCACTTCAGGATTAAGAATGGGGAATCCCAAAACCAAACTCCTGCCTCCTGTACAGCTTAAGTATAGTCAACTTCTTATTTTAATCTTTATACACACTTTTCTCTCTTATCAGTAGTTTATGTATCTACAGCAAGGAGGACTGTACTCTTCCAGGAACCAATACTTATAAAAATTAATTCCTGGCTATAAAAGACCCTTTTCGATGTAACACCTTTGCATTTCTTAAAAAACAATTCATAGGAAAACACCAAAACCAACAAATGAAGTCACTAAATAGCCACCCAGCAAGCAGCACGAGCCTTTGTCATGATGGCATGACAAATGCTGAAGTCCAATCTGCTAGTATTAATAATACCACATATACCAAAAACACACGGTCCGATTCTCCTCGTATGAAAGAATTGATCCAGCAGCCCTTACAGAAATACAACTATAGAAGTTGAGTGTGTGCAATAAATCTATAATCTAGCCTATTAGCAATCCATCAGCCCAACTGCTAGCAATAAAGTTAATGCAGAACTAGCCTAAAAGAATAAATACATAGATATGTACAGAAGCAACCATACTAATATACGGAAGCAGTTTCCTTTTTTCATTTCCACAGTATGACTCATAAATTTTCTGACAAAAGCAGGAAAAGCACTAATGCAATAGTTCCCTATGCACAAGTTCCAGGCAGATATCCATTTCTTTTTCATACAGAAGACCCATAATTAACTCTGATATTCCGTCACACTGCTGCCACAACACCACAGCCCTTACGCAAAGCGTGCTATCGATTTCAACCACAAAGAGCTCAGGCTTTCTCACTTTCGTGTCTGACAAAGATTAATTTTTAGTGATGAGAGAGAAAGTGCAGAAGCACAAACAGAGGAACAGACATGGTAGAAACAGAAGACTGCCATCATCATCCCTACATCTCCAAAGGGATGGGAGAAACATACGTGAATGGATTCCCTAACAAACCAGGAAAAGTCTATACATTTGCACAAACACTTACAAGGTAAATACAGATAAAATACCCTAATAAGAAACAAATCATGGCCAACAGGACTTACATTTATGCCTGCAAGAATCAAATTTGTTTGCTACAAAAATACTTAATGAAAGTTCAGATCATACAAGGAAAATGCTTTTCAGTTTAAGCAAAACAGAGAGGCTCTTTGATGATATGTAAGCTGAATGCCTACATATATCTGAGTTTTATACAAGTTCTTTATTTAAGTGTGTGGACAGCTGAAACTGAAGTAGTACAAATGTTGGTTTGGTGATTATTTCCTTTTTGGAGAGGGATGTTGCAAGCAGTCTGTTTTCTGTCACAATCGAACTAAAATGAATTCTTGAGTCAAAAAAGTTCCCTGGGAGTCAGGCGCTTTGTTCTGGCCAGAATTCCTGAATGAAAAGATTGTCTGCATGCTCCTGTGACCATGCCTATTCAATCTTACAAGCATATGTACATATTATGCAGGTGTATCATAAAAAAATACTCAAGCACGTTGCCCTCCAAACAGGAAGTTGACGTGCAAAGCTTTCCAGCGTGGCCACAATGTTTTAACATGTGTGCATACGTTATGGAAGATTCAAGCCTGAATAATGCAAAAAGGGTTATTCTATTGTCAGTAAGAATCCTGTTTTAGACTAATTCATGGTGAAATGTCAAAAAAGCCATTAATTCAAACCGATAGTAGTGTTTCAGTCAGTAAGAGTAACTTTCAGCTGGAAGATTAATAAAAATACAGAGAAGAAAAAGAACACCTTATGGATGTTTCAAAACTCACCCACGTTTGGTGGTTTCCCGTAATTTACAGGTAGTTCGGGAGGCCGGCCTCTGTGAAGAGCTGCAAATGCAGATCCTTTCCATAGTGTATGTCTGAAGTCTGTACCGGCAAGATTAACAGCGGGTTAGTGAAACAGTCAGCCAAACCGGGTCCAACCGACCTATTCTTCTTAGAATCAAGAGCATCAGGCACCGCTCCCAGCACCCCAAAACAAAATTTGTCTTTTTAACTAGTTTGTCAGAGATTCTAACACTTAACGAAGATTGCTACTCCAATTTCTAGTTCCTAAGCAATACGACTGTAAATGGTTTCAGCTTATTTTTGCTTCATTTTGGTGAGTAGGGAGTCTAAACTGACGGGAAGACTAAGAGAATGAAAAATGTGGGTGCACTTTGTGTTGAGGCAGAACTGATCTTTGCTATGTTTTTAGTCCTTTTGCAATCCCAACACGTACAGGACCTCTTCTTATGACCTGTACATTTGAGAATACACATACAGGCACACAATTACTCCCTGAAAGTGGGAGAAGTGAGATTTTTTTTTTTTCAATAAATCTGTTTTCCTGCAATTGGTGGCAATATGCCCTCCTTTCAGATTCTCCCCTGCACCCCACCCCCCAAAAAAACATTGTTTTTAAAATGGAGACTTTTCTTTAAAGACTCTCCAGCTATCTGCTGCCAACTGGCCTCAGAGAGCCTTCTCTCTAGAACAATAGTGATTTTTCTGAGACTGTTCGGAGCGCCTCAGAAATTAGACCTGGACTTCTTCCATTTCTGGCCATCTGGAAGGAGAGAAATGAGCTTCCATGGTGAAGAAGGATTGAAACAGAAGGATAGTGCCACAGATTGGTGGATCTGTGTATCACCATTTAGATCTCTGACTATGAAGTGCACAAGCTTACATGACTCAAAGAGACTCCCGAGAGCACCTTCTGACTAAAACCCAAACTGTAGGACCAAGTATTACAATGATACACATTAAAAACAGCACTCATACTTTCTAGAATAGATCAAAATACCTATAAATACTAACGGTAAATGGAAACTTCATACTGATGCACAACAAGGGGGAGCGGAAATCCATGCATGTCAACTTTGAAAAAGGTACGCTGTTTTACATTAGTGAGTGTGGTTTACACACCAAATGGCACAATGTCACAGCACCTCTTTCTGAAGGGGAAAAAACGCCACCATAAATCTAGTAGAAATCTCTTTGCAATGAATTTATCACACGGCTTAGGAAGTACTGCATCTTTCAGTGATTCATCTAACCTCTGCCCCCTAATTCACCTAAGAAACTTCTGTTTCCCTGCACAAAAATGTTTATTTTCTCTTTACATTTTTGTTGCTGTTTTCTTCTAAGATGCAAACTGAAAGTGAAAAGAAGAAATGTTTCTCTGCAAACCTGAAATTCTCCACCCAATTGTAACAAAGCATAGGCAAAACAAGACTCAGTCCCAAAACTTTGCGTAAGGAAACATGTTTGCAAACAGCACATCCCTCCAGGTGATATCCAGTGGATCGGCAGAATGCTACAGTCCTTGTTAGCATCACAGTGTGACTTCACAGGATGCGGTAAATTAAGTGCTCAGCTGCCACCGAAACAGGAAGGTCCTGCTCTCCCATCCCTCCTCCTCTCCCAGAATGATGCTCCTGCTGCCTGCGTGACCTCCAGCACTCTGATCCTTCCATGAGCTAATTTAATTCACTACAACAGCAATAACAAATTTTGCAACATTTTAGCGCTCTGAATCAGCACATCACAGGATGAAATAAGTTCTGGCTCCTACAGGGAAGAAGTGGCAGGGGCATGGAGTGAGGAGGGAAGGGAGGAACCACTCTTTTCAATAGCAGATGGCTCTCAGATCTGTTTAGTTATAACACAAAACTGTGCTTTCAGAATCATTATCTCAAGCAGAGCAGTTTTTCAAAAGGAATAGGGCTGGTGCTCTATTCATGAAAGGAACGGGGGCTTTCGTTCAAATCAACTTCAAGCAAGGACAAGCAGGAATTATCACTGAAGAATCAGCGTCACCTTCTCCCACCCTCTAAACGCTGCCCCAAATGCCACCCTGCCCATCAAGCTGACACGTCTGCCTGCATGGCCAGGGAATCAAATAATGGAACAAATGGAACACATCAGCCTGAAAAATAGCCCAGCAAAATATATGGACTGCTGGGTTATTTTAGACACAGGCATGTAGATATGTATATGAAAGAAAATGGCTATTTTTGAGATGGATCAAATCTCTAATCCAGTTCATCACATCGTTCACACAAACACCAGCCCAACATGCTGAGAAGGGAAGGTAGGGGAAGCAAGTAACAAGATCAGGCAACTGTATGCAAGAGCGGCTTCAGATGGCATTTTCAACCAAAGAAAGATATATGTAACAGGGCCAGCAATAACTGCTCTTTAGCAAGACTGCAACAAGAAAGCAGGAGCTGACAAGCATAGGAGACAAACCAGGGTTCATGCAAACACACACAGGTACCACAATACGAATCAAAACAAAAGGGGTTTTGATCATTAAAACAAAATTCAATCACACATACATTGAGAATCTTACCTTTTGCCGCCCTTAATAGAGACTGGCGCCCGACACCTAGCAAAGTCTGCACACCTAGGACACTCTGCGGGATTTCCTTGTCTAAAAGGGGTCCAAGTCTCTCACAGATCCTAAGAAGATAATCCGGAGGGATGTGTGCATTGACAGCCACCTAAACATATAAATAACGCAGATGTTTGAAAATTGTTTTATTCTTGCTTCTACTGGTATTTCTTTGTTTGGTTCATATTCAAGCGTTCAAGCTACTGAAATCAAGTCTAAAACCCCTGAAGACCCCTCAAAATTAATTATACCAAAGATGTCTTTTAAAGTGACACGGAGTGTTGAAAAAGTCAGACCAGAAATTCCAGGTGGTAGCAGCTACAGTTGTAATTTAGGATACTCCTTAATAACAAACAAAAAATCCCTGAAACTCAGAGTCCCCAGTGCAGTACTCTGATCAAACAAAGTGTTGCCTGGGGACTTTTTTTTAAGCCTGTTTTACCCTTCAGTTCATTCTTTTCACATACAGTATTTCTTGCTTAGCTGGAACACCCTTGCCAGACGCTCACATTACTGTAAGAAGCACATGCGCTAAAGCCTAAAAACCCTAAATATTATCCTAAAAGCAATACCCGGTCTCCAGCTTTTAGCTACTGGGAATAAGTATCTTTGAGACCCACATGTGTAGGCTCCGCTCCTAATTTGTCATCTCGAGAAAACGTTGTTCTTTTTCCCCTTTAGACAGAGACTGTTTTCTACGGAGAGACAATAGCTTTTTCCATCAGTCTGTTCAAACAGCAAATAAATTGTGCCTCATTATCCAGAATGTCCTGCACTTGCCTGACTTCTACTATATTTACTAGCTGGCAGCACAAACTCAACATCAGAGCTTATTTAGCTCCTTCAACACAGGACATACAGCCACATCCATCTCCTTTTTAAAGATCACCAGTAAGAGGTCACTCAGCTCTTAAGCACCTGTGATTGAAGATGGAAAAAACAGTTGTATCAGAACTATTTACAACTTTTGTATCTGATGCAATATTATGAAGAAAGAGATTGTCGTAAACCAGTTTTTTGTTTTACCAAGCCACAAACTAATGCCAAATAATACTAAAGCTGACCTGAAAGGGCCAGAACAGTGCTCATTGTGAAGAAATAACAGCAGGCCTGTGCCTGCGCACACCCCTCTCTCCTACGTGGCCACTTCAAATGTGTCCAGTCACAGGCCAATACCGGTGACGGGGCTGTGAGCGCTCACCACCCATGCAGTTCCCTCCTGGCAGGGTTAGGACACGTTTTTGTGCAGCTGCAGCGAGCCAGAATGGTTCCCCAGTCTGGCTAAAACCATGACCGAGCTCCCCTCTGCATCAGCTCCAGTGCCCATCTACTGCGGAGGGAGCCGTTTCAGCTCCCCTGGCTAGGAACGCTCACCCGGCAAAAGAAGGAACAGGTTTTCTGCCAGGTTTAGCAAGGCTGGCTGTGATTCAGAGAAGTGTCAGAGCTGGTGGAAAGCAAGGAACGGGACCACTTCTTTCAACAGCAGAGCACCATCAGAGAGGCCCAGCTATCCTGCCTACCCAGACCCCAAGGATATGCCCAGCTCCTGCCCCAGCACACCGGAGGGAGTGGCAGGCGTCGGGAAGGAGGAAAAGGTAAGTACTTCACTCAGACCTGCTGCCAAAACATTGTTCACTGAACTACGTCATCGCACAGATTATTACTACACGTCATTGGGAAATTGTTCGTTCCAATTGGGCAAGAGCAGTGGTGCTACAGGGCTCAACGCAGTGAGTCATGTGTTGTATAATGTAATCACCTGCATCACAAGCAGGATCAACACCATCCCACAAAAATAAGATTTTAACCAAAAAAAAAAAAAAGACAGGCTTCTCTAATGATATATACAAATTGTCATTTAACTAAACCCAACCAAAAACTCTTCCAATCTGAATGGAAACTCATACAGAAGAGAGACAGGCTTCTCCACACATCCTTTCAGTCACTGCATGCTAAAGATATGACTCTGGCCTTTTGTCGGAAACAGAAGAATCGTACCTCTGCAGGAAAGATAAACCTGATGACTGCATTAACATGGTCCCATTCCATGACCTTTCATACTGTGAGCATCGAGGAATGACCCCATGAATGCTCTCTTGCATGGACCAGTTTCTCCGAGCCCTCCAACTTCACTCTAACTTCCCCCCCCCCCCCAAAAAAAATCAAGGAGTTCCAAAATTATATTGGTACCTTCCCAAGTGTACAGCCAGTAAAGTTCAGCGTATAAGCATGAATTGTCTTTCATCGTAAATTACACGATCTAACATAAGTCAAAAAGAGATAAAAGATTATCCAAACTTTTGTACTTGCCTATCGTTCTTACTCATTCCTGAAATATTATAAATGTGTTAATGCTACAAAATATTTTATTATCCTGCGCTAGCCTCCCTTCGGTATGTAAGGGACCTGAAAGGATCTGAAACAAAGGCAATTCTAAAGAGGGAATCTGCAACTTAATAAAATCTGAGTATGAAATTCTTTTTTACATCTCTGATAATTAGTAACATGCTTCTCAGTCAACAATTGCCAATTCTAGCAATTTATCAAGCTGAAGATTAGAAGATTAAAAACAGTAACGAATCCAGAAGCTGTGGAATTTTACATTTTACCTCTAGGGTAGGAAAAAACCCAAACCATACCACTCTCCCTGGAAATACAAGATTTCACAGAAAGTCCAAACCATCCTCCTAGTGTAATGCAGCCAAATGCTTCCCTTTTTACTCAGGAGCACGCTGTTCCTGAAGTATCATCCCTATTCTATGTCCAGAGAGAGGTGCTGAATCAAGCCTGGCAGCAAATATCCTACTGTGGAGACAGAGCACAAGTCATTCAACAAGCAGTCCTGATTAACTCAGCGCATCTACTCAGAAATGGAAAGGGACTTTGTTGCTTAAAGATCCGCAAATTAAGCCACGGTTTTATAAAGAACAGCGAAGGGACCGAACACCAGCACACGTGCGGCCGGCTAACGTTCAAAGACGGAAGATGGATGCGCCGGACCCAGGGAGCACGTGGCAGTTATCTGCACGTGCCTGGTGGTCATTTGCCTGGGACATCCAGACGTTAAGCAGCTCAGGATACCAGACATCTGCTTGCTCGCTGCCCAGACCAGGAAAGTTGGCAAATCCATCATGGAGCCAGAGTTAAATCGGCACAGGTGAGCTGCTGAAGCACCTAGATTTTAGTGCACGGTTTTATTAGATTGTAAACTTTTCTAAGCGACATTTAATGTGGAGCATATTGCACAGATTGGGCACATACCGAAGTGACCGCTCACTTTACTAACACGCCCTACCCACCAGATTTGCCACCTGCAATCGGAACCATGCCACGCTAAAGAAGAAAGGCCGTACCACACTTCTCTCCCTGTGCATTTTCATGTTTCTACAAGCCAGAACAGCTCAAATAAGTGGCCCTTAATCTGAATATTATCACTGTTGTTGCTACCAAACAGCTACACAGGCAGGCAGCAGTAGCAGCAAATTCTCCTGGAGATTTTTTTTTCCATAATAACTTCCAGATAAAATGCTTAAACTGCAGCCCAGAGCACAACAAGCAATTCTATTTTCAGGTTCCCAAAAGAACTTGAAACAAAAATCCTTCCTTTCACCTCTGTGTGAGGTAGCTGTAAATGGATTTTAAGTATCTTTCCAAAACATGAAGCTGCAAACGTACAGCTGAGAAAAACAAAGTCTCCCAAATCAGATTTTCATTAAAGGAAGGAAAGAAAAAGGCAAAGCTTAGCATCAGTTATAGCCACACCTCTTAGCATATGCTGGTCCAAACCCCATACGGCAAAATTAAACAACGGCGAGGATATTATCACCTCCTCAGATATATCAGAAAATATTTTTAGAATATTAGAAAATATTTTAGAAAATAATTAGAAAATTAGAAAAAATCAGAGACGAGTAATACAGGTCAAAACCGTGCTTAACGAGCTTTTGAAAAGAGCATGTTAAAATAATGCAGAAGGGCTGAAAACGTGCTAAGCGAGAGCACGTTCTGCACCCTGGGATAAATTATAAAGAGAAAAACGTTCTGTTGCCTTAAGATGTGAAAGACCCTATAAAGGTCAAAACGCGAGAGCACAAGAATGCCACAGAACCGCGGAAGAGTCCTCTGACACAGGAACCACACAGGTCTTATGGATCTAAAAACTTTCAAGAACTGGGTAAAGCGAATCCAGCCTTTTAAAAAAATCAACGTAAACAACCGTGGGTGAATGCAACACAGTCATGACTGCTTGAACCAGCATGCAAATAAGTTGCTACAGTGATAAGCAGCTGCAAGTAAAGCACTATTAGTGAAGTCACACCAGGGCGAAGAGAAAGTCATACCCCTAAACCTGTTTATGCTTCCATTGTTGGAAGCATTACCATGTAATCTCAAAGGCTACTGAGCAAAGGGTCCTCACCGGGCAGCTAAGACGACAGGCAAGAAGCTTGTTGATCCCTGAAACAAGCAAAATCCCCTGCTATGACTGCTGACAATTTCTCCTCCAAGGAAGGTTTCAATAAACAGGAAACAAACAAACAAAAAAAGACTCTTTGTGATTACTACTTATCATAAGATGTCTGTCTTCCCAGGGATGGGAACCAGATAGCTCCGAAACACCTCTTTTGGGAAGCCCAGCGAAACGTTGCCTCAAAGCACAGACTAAATTTGACGCAAGAGCCACATAATGGAAGCAACGCAGGCAGCCACGCAGACCGTCGAAGGCTCCTCCGTACCCAGTCCCCTGTGGGCAGGCAGGCAGGCAGGCCGTTGTGCATCAGCAGCGGATTCCTAACCTCTAGGCAGTCGTACGACACTTCTCTCATTTGCCAAAATAACGATCAGTTAAGAATCAATTGACAACTGTATCAAAAAGCAGCAGAGGAGACCAAGAGGACCAGCTGAGCAAGCAGGAAATTACTCACGACCTCAAATAGGGAATCTCAGCAAAAGGAAGCTCAGATGCTGGACTTGCACAAGATGCCAACGGTATGCAAATACACATGAATTTAAAAAGCCACTATCCACTCGGCTTCCCCAGAGAGAACGGGGTGGAACTACCGTACTACCAGATGACATCTTCCTGAGGTGACAAAACCGTACCATCTCTCC